TTTCATAAATGAGTTATTAGGTATAAGAGAGAGAGAGAATCCACTACTACTACCTTTGATTTTCAAATTATATCTTCTGGATAAAGAGGAGACCACACCATATAATAATCTCTAATTCAAAGAACATACCATATGCCTTAAGGCAGAACTCTATTCTCTTAGAATATTCTCTTCTATAGGGAACCTATCCATGTGGAATGGCAAATGTAGCCTAGCCCTATTGGAAAACCTATAGGTGCAAGTTGGCAAACAGGACACCAAACCCATGTATGGGGGTGACTTTCCTCACAAGTCCCCCCGTGTGTCACGGAAGAGAGAAAACATGACTGAGACATGATGTGATCTGCTTGGGGAGGAGAGGTAGCCAGTTTCCCAGAGGAAAAAGGCCTTGGGCCCCTTCCTCCAAGGGCTTTTATTGGGTTGTAATACACAGGAAAACAGGGAGGCAAGGATCAAACAGTAGATAACATTTCAAAGAGATCTGAGGGAGGGCCCAGTCTGAACCAGAGTCTGTCAGGAAGAGAGTTTTAGGGTTTCCTGCTTGAACCCTTAACATATAAATGAAAGCACTCTTAGCAGAGCAGATTTCACAGGCTTTTCAGGAAGTCTTTATGATGCCAGATTTTCCCCTGGACATGCTCTAGCAAGGCAAGGAGCTGTACCCCTCCCCAACGGGTATTCAGGCTTAAGGGGATTAAAGCCAGGAAGCGCTTCTCCCAGAAGACATGGGGACTCAGGCTATGTCAAAGCCAGGGGGCAAGAGTCTATTGCTCTTCGTTGCAGCCCCACAAGTCCTTCCATGATGGCCTCCCAAGTGATCGTGTCTGGCCTAGGTTGCCTCCCACTGTGAGGAGTCTTACCCGTCATTGACTTCCAACCAAGGTTTGTCTTGGTCGGGGAGGAAACTGAGGCAGCATTTGCTACCAGAGACAAGCTTTGTCTCCTGTGGCTCAAATTCCAGAGGTCACTCATTCATCCTTAGCCACAGGGGGTAGAGAGTTACAATTCCTAGAACCAGGCAGAGTGGTCCACAACAACCATGGATCAGCTTTCCTGTGGGAAACCAGGCCTGCATTATACCTAGGCTGCTTCAAGACTTGCTTGTGCTAAAACTTTCTCACCCTGCGTTGAAACAGCAAATGCTTACTGCATATCTTTAAAGTAACTTCCTGAGGTCTGTGCTAATTCTCCCAAGGACTGGTTGTAACCAGACCAATCACGCTTATTGTTTCCTAGTATTTGCAACATTTTTCTCTTTTTAATCTATAAGAAGTAATCAGTAACATCCTTTCCTTTGTAATCTGTAAAAGTAATCACCTAAAGCAAACCTGAGCATAATGAATGAGCACCTTCTTTGATGTATGCTATTAGAAAGCAAATAAAAGCTTTTCAAGGCAAGGGTTGAGTCACTCTCCCCTTGAGAGAGTGGCCAAGGCACTCTCACTTTTGGAGAGTGGGCATGCCATCCCTTTTTCTTCATAAGACTTCTGTAGTTCATGTGAATTTGTTCATTGCATCCACAACATACTGATTCCACAGGAGTCAGCATCACTCTTCCATTTAGTACTGTGACTGAGCCTATAGTAAGTAGTCTCTCCATTTACTTAAGCCAGCCTCTTCTGGATGACATGTGATATGATAAGATCAGTTAATTCAATAATTATGATTCTATTGCTTTATTTCCTTTGCAGTGAAATGAGTACAGTGCTCAGAAGCAATGCTATGTTAAAATGTCATAAGTTATTTTGTGAGTCCATGGGTAGTATTGTCAGACGTATCAGAAATAGAGAAGGAAAATATACATGCAAATATTTATTATACTAAGGATGAACCTCTGTCTCTTCCATAATAGTAGAGGTCCAATGCAAGCAACCTTCCATTATGTTGCTTTCCTAGAGAATGGTGGCATAGCAGGAACTAAATGTTGGTCTATGTTGTTGGTAGATTACAAATTAAGCAATATTATTGGCAAAAGTAAGGTCAGGCCTTTGGTTCAGTGTGTAGCCTCCATCACTACCACCATGACTATTTTGTCCTTGGGCTTATTGAAAAAACCCTGGTGTGGGTGGAGATATCCAAAGCGCACATCATTTTGTCTACTTCATTATTAAGAGCCTCCTCTGCAGTAGATACCCACTGGCAGACATTCACATGGGACAAAAGTGTCTTCTACATCCTGTGCCCCTTTGAGACATCCAGCCACATTATCTACTCCAACCAGACTTTGTCATTAACCTTTCAAGTCTGCTTCATATAGCCTCAGCTATTGCTAGTGAAAAATGTAGTTTATTTTTGGCTACCTCTCACTCCAGACAAAGTGAACAACTAAAATACCACCTGAAGTCCCAACCAGTGATAAAATTTTTCTTCACCACTATCCTTCAGAGTCACCCCTATGTTCTGCTTTACTGCTACAGCTGTTCACTTTGAGGCAATACCAGAATATCATGCAGATCTATTTGTACACCAGTCTTAAGTTTTTCTTCTTCAATCAACTGGTTGTAAGGAAACTGCCAAAAGATCAAGACATCTCCAAGGTCTCTGCTGATTATATATTAGTAGAGTGTTTCAATTATTTCAGTGTGTAACCAATTTCTTCCAAGGTCACTTAGTGTCTATCTGCCCCCTGGAGCATATTGAGATTTTTATCTATTGTAACCACTGCAGGCAGTTTGGATGGGTCTTGAGAAACATGTGCATCCCCCTTCAAGGCATCTACACCATATAAGAAAATCACAAGATTTTCAAGCACAAGGAGGTTAGTTTCCTCAGATATAGAAGGACAAACTACTTCTACTGGCAAGGAAAGGTAAGAGTGGCTTGGTTTAAGACTACCAGTTTCATCTTGGATCCAATCACATGTCAGCAGCGTACACAACTAAATTAAGATTTTCATTAAAAATCTCAGTAAAAACTAACTCGTCTTGATACCAGAGCAAGGGAGAAGTAGCAAATGGAATAAATACCTCAAGAAAAAGGGACTACTAACCATAATTAATATTTATTAAATATTTACTAAGTGTCAGGTGCTGTGTTGAGTGATTTATTTACACTATTTGGTGTCATGAATTACTTAATTCCTTCACTGCACTTGGAATGAAATCCCAAAGATCTTCCATGGCCTTTTAGGTCCTAAATTATCTGTACCCAAGCTTACCTCTCTGATCTGATCTCTAAGTTTGTTCATAAATTTTCAGCCACAAATATCTCCTTTTAACTGTACTCAGCTTACATGGCATCTCCTCCAAGCTGCTTTTCTAAAACAGCTCACTCATCAGTCTCCACATTGAGACTGTGCTGTCTTCCATTATTTGTCACAATATTATTTGTTGTTTTAGTCTTTTATTTATCATGCTTTATTATTCTAATTTATCATGTTTATTTATATTAATAAATAGTGTATATTCATTATTATTACTCCAGGAAATGATACCCTCATCTCAGTCAAAGGCCATGTCTGTCTTATTCACATTTGAACAGCACCAGACAAAGCACTCAGTAAGCATTTGTAGAATTCTCACAACTTAGACTATGTTTTTTATTCTTGCTTTTCACATAAATCAACTGAATCTTGCAGGGGTCAGGGGGAGCTAAATTAACTTACTCTAGGTCACTCACAGCCAACTAGTGTCCTAAGTCTTGGCAACTTACAACTGAAGCTAGTTGCCACCAAGGATGATCTTGTGAACCAAAAAATGGGGCTTTTGATAAACCTGACAAGCTGCAGAGCCCACATGGCAGGCCTGACAAGCTCACTGACCAAAAAGTAAACACACAAGATGATGTGATTATAAATCCTTAACTGGACTGGTCAGTCATAGAGAGTAGTCATGTCCCAGGCCTATAGCTTTTTTAGCAAAGGTCAATCTTTACCTTAAGTGAGCTCTGCTCATTGTTCTTAAGCATCCAGGATACTATACCTTTGAAATGTCAATGCAACTTTCTTTTCCAGACCCATCTGAGGCACCAGAGCAGATCACAGAACCCCTGCCCCCAAAGGTTATCTTGTTCACCCCATACCATCTCTGTGTGCTGTTATTAACTATACTGTACCCACCAAAGGAAAATAAGTGTCCATGTCTCCCTCTTACTTTTCCGGTCCTAGAGACAATGTAGTAGCCTTCCCAGGAGGGGAGCTAGCTGCTGAATCAATAGGATGAATGTAATGGCTAATAGCCTGCCAAGGAGGGGACTCGCAGCTGAGTCAACAGCATCAGGGAGAGCAAGTAACTAAGTAACTGAGGAGTAAGAACAAAGAAATTCGTATTAACTCTTATTAGCAGTTCCGCTTTCTTGCTTTGGAGCCAAGTGGCAGACCGCCCCTCAACCTATATAGACAATTGTTTCCCACTGATTGGGGCCCAGAGTTTGGAGACTGACTCCTCTGTGTGAAAATAAACTTCCACTCTGTACACCCGAAAGCAGCTGAGTTGTTTTCTGTAACAAAACTCCCTCCCTTAGCTTTCTCTGGTCCCCTTAATCTACCACCTTCTTTACAGCTTCTTTTTTGATTTACTATATAAAATAAGCTGCAAAATTGCCATTCTGCACAGTCTTTTCTCAGTCCATTGAGATTTTGCTTCCAGGTATGTCCTCTAAATTAGACTCACATAAACTCATAAAACTTTTCTACAAGTTCGGATGCTATTACATTGACAGACCCAGTCCCTGAGGCGAAGCTCGTACAATTCCCTCAGTCCACCAAATGGAACAATACAGTGTTTATTTCAAGAAAACAGAGCATCATCACTGCCATCACAGAAATCCACACATCCTTCACGAGGTGGTGGCACCGCCGGTGTAGGGGGTGGGGGGGCAGGGAGAAGGGGGCGGGGTCCGCTTCCGGCTAGGAACACACACCGCGCAAGGCCCACACACACAGCGCAAGGCCTGACGGCCTCTCCGCGCCAGCCAATCGGCGCCAGCCAGCAGAATTCCTCCCCCTCTGCGCAAGCGCACGCCGCAAAGCGCGATGAGGGCGGGGCTGGCGTGGTGTCGCGCCCACCTCTCTCGCAGGGTCTGATGGGAGTCGATCTCCGGGTTATTACTGGTATGGAGCCGGGAGTTGCTGGGGTGTGCACGGTGGGCTTCGGCAGCACCAAACCGTGGCGGCGGGAGCCGGGGATAGGGGCCAAGACGGGGGCTCCGAGGCCTGATGCGAAGGAAGCCCGTCTGTTCCTGCTCTGCGTGTACCTGGTGGGATTCTTGGTTAGTGCTGGGGCTGCTTTCCAGGTGCAGGCTGCTAACGCTGTTAGGGGGAGTGGGTTTTCTTGCAGCTGGAGCGGGAGATGTGTTAACGGTTAAAAGCACCAGATTTTAGACCTGGGTCCTTGAATTCTGGCTGAGGAAAAAATTCAGATCTAAGACTCAAACACAAGCAAAATTTTATTTAGAAAGTCACAGAGGTAGAAATGAGCCGTGTCAGACTTGAGCCCCCTGGGCTGCGTGGGTTTGGAAAACAGCTGGCCCAGGCAAAAAAAAAAAAAAGAAAGAAAGAAAAAAGAAGTCTCTTGGAACTTAGGATAAAGAAAGTAAAAGTAATGCGCTTTGAGAGAAGAAAGGGGGAGGAAAGGTGCGGAGCGGCGGGTGTGTGTGCACGCCCGTGTATGGTCGGGGAAAAGACTGAGAATGAATCCATAACTACTCATAAATTTTAAATAGCACGCTGTTTAAAATCTCACAATGTCACACCTCCTTTAGTCCTAGACATGAATCATCCCCATGCTGTAGACCAGTGCCTCCCTGCCGTAGACCTACCTGTGTACAGTACCTTCCCTGTAGTTACTTGGTAGCCTTCTTGCTTGGTTAGCGGATGGGCACAGTGCTTTTGTTCAAGTAACCATTACAGTAGCTTAAAAACACTGTGTCATAATGCCTACGTTATTCTCCTCACTTCGTCTCATCACATAGGAACTGAATTATCTTACATCACCACAAAAATGGTAAGTACAGTGCAACAAGATGTTTATAGAGAGACCACATTCACATAACTTCTGTTACAGTATATTGTTATAATTGTCCTATTTTATTAGTTATTGTTAATCTTTTACAGAGCCTAATTTGTAAATTAACCTTTATCATAGGAATGCGTGTATAGGAAAAAAATATGTATATGGGATTTGGTACTCTGGTTTCAGGCATTCACTTGGAGTTCTTCTAATGTATCTCCAGTGGATAAGGGAGGACTACTATAATATTAAAATAAAAATAGTCAGTTGTAGTTCTGGTAGTGTAAATTTGTAAGTTATTTAAGATTACTGGATATTAAAGACATGGCCATCTAAAAATGTAACCCTGGAGGATAAAACGCTGAAAAGTGTATTGGGAAGTTTATGATTCTGTAATTAGGTGAATTTTTACAGCTACCAAGAGAAGCAAGGAACAAAAGATGAATTGTTGGCTGAAAAAATACACTGTTTTCAAGTATTTCTGTTTAACCAGGATTACAAGAAAATGAATTCAGGGTAACTATTTAATAAAAACTCTGTGTGTACTATGTGGTTTTCTTCTCCTAAACCAGTTGTATCAGTACCCAAGTGAAGTAATAATGAGAACCACAATAGTTAAAGGAAAAATTAGCAATCTGTTAACTCAGAATCCGTAGTAAGAAAGGATCAGTACGTATTCTCAGAACTGAAGAGAAAATGTGTTTGAGCTTTTCTCAACCGCTGTATCTCTCAATACACATTGTATATCTACCAGGCAGGTATTTTATCCTCATTTTTTAAAGATGACAGCACTGATGCTTGGTAACATTCAATAAACTTTTCAAGCACACATATTTATTAATAAATGGTGGAGCTGGAATTGGGAACTGTCTTTCTGATCCCAGAGTGCATGCACTTTCTATGACTTTTGGCAAAACCCAAATTAGTTATCTTCCCCAACTGCAGGAGAAAATTCATGTTCAAATTCAAGTATGTGCTGCCTTATCAAGAAATACACATCATTCCTACCTCCTTTCCCACTTCATTACCCACAAAAATTGTTTAGTTTTCTTATTTAAGGAGCTTCTGGTAGCATATCCTCCTTGAATATTAAATATCAGTTACAAAGAAGCTAAAGTTAAAGTGGATGTGGATTATAGATCAGAGTAGTTTACTCATTTACAGGTAGCAGCTGCTATAACTAATGTATTTGGATCCTTGATAACTTTTACCTGTTGAGTATAGCATAATAGAATACAGTTAGGATTTATTTTCTCAAAGTTTTAGACAGTGTTTTTTTCTTGGAAAATTAGTGTATAATTAGGATCACCACTGTAAAAACACCAAGACTTTTGTTTCTAATTTGAGTTAATAAGTGTTTTGTTATTTAGGATTTGTTTGGTGTCAGCATGGTTGTCCCTTTATTGAACGTTCACATTAAGTCTCTTGGAGCAAGTCCAACAGTTGCTGGAATTGTAGGTAAGTGATTACATTGCACATTTTAAGAGTGCTGAATTTTAAATTCCCTGAAGTAAGTGCCTGAAAACAAACAAACAAAAATAGTCTTCTAGCTAACACTATCTAAAGGTAAATTGAAAATGGTATAAGATGAATTTTCAGAATATTTAAAATATTACACTGGAGCAAATGTGATTCATCTTTTCCTGGACTGCCTCTGTTCTAAGAAGTTTTGAGATTTAGTGTTATTCCCATGCCTCATACCAGCAGTGCTGTTACAGGGGCTTATTGAGCCTCTCCAAGAAGCTGACTTGTATAGTTAAAAGACAAGTGCGGACTCCTGCCTGTAAGAACCTGTAACCTAATGTGAGAGACCAACACAGAAGTCACACCATGGAGGAGAAAGAATTGGGGCAATTCTTCAATCAGCTGCAAACTTCCTGCACTACCACCATCACATCTTAAAGGACTGTATGATGTTTCTTCCTGTGTAACACAAAATTTTCTAGTTGAAGAAAAGTTGTGGGGTAATTCCCTTTTTAAAAATGAACTTTTTTCCTAGTGTTTTTCTGTTAATTTCTATGTAGTCGTTATGCCATTAATCCAGTTTTATGATATGTCTAGTCAAATTTTATTGATTTTTTTTTTTTTTTGCAGGGTCCTCCTATGGCATTCTGCAGCTTTTTTCTAGCACAGTGGTGGTAAGTTATCTTCCATCTAGCAACGTGTCTAGAAAGCATATTCATATACTTTGAGTGCCATCCAGCATGGCTGTGGTAAAATCAAAGGCAGGAGGTTTACCAAATGTAGATATCCAGGTGATTGGGATATATAGTGTCACTAGATCAAGAAGGTTCCTTCAGTCATTTCTCTTTCTCCATTGACATCTGAGAAGCCATTGGCTTAGAGGAGACTTCTTAAAAGAACACACTGAGTCAAAATGAGAGCACACTTTTTAACCTGTACCACGTTCTTCCCATGACTTCCTGCTGACTTTGACTAGAAAAAAGAATTACTATTACCAGTTTTTTCATATATGTCAATTAATTGACAATAATCAAATTCATTTGTGCTTCTAGGACTCTGAAGTTATGTGTTTTGAAGTACATAGATTATTAATTTTAAAACCTAAATGTATAGACAGAAGGAGCCATTTGAAGTGGTGGTTATGTATCTGTAGCATGGAGTAGAAAGACCTACAGCTAAGCTTGTTGCTCCTATTTCTGCCCACTCAGTTGTTTGAAATTCAGAATTCTTAACTGATCCTTCTCTTCTCTTTCCTTTATGAAATCCACTCTGCTACTCTGGTCTTAGACTGTGGTGTCCAGTAGTCCAGGCAGGTCAAACAGAACAGTCACTTTAGTACCACAGATTGATGAACCATGACCTTGGTCTAAATAGCTGGCTGATGGGCTCACTGTTAGTGAAGACAGTGTACTGTATTGTGCTTCCCAAGAGTGGCTTGCATGTCAAATATGTTTTAAAAAAGAAAACAAATTGTCAGATTGTTTTTTACTTGAATTATATTTTATTGATTATGCTATTACAGTTGTCCCAGTTTTTCCCCTTCACCCCCCTCCACCCAGCTAACCCCCACTCCCTCTGGCAATCCCCACACTGTTGTCCATACTGTGGGTCATGCATATATGTTCTTCGGCTCTTGTGTTCCCTATGCCACACTTTTTCTCCCCATGACTATTCTGTATTTACCAGTTTGTACTTCTTAACCCCTTCACCTTTTTTGCCCATGCCCCCCAACCCCCCTCCCATCTGGCAACCATTAAAACATTCTCTGTGTCTATGATTCTGTTCCATTTGTTTATTTTGCTTTTTAGATTCAGTTAATAGGTATGTATTTTTTTGCCATTTTTTTGTTCATAGTTTTGATCTTAAAGAAGACCCTATAACATTTTATATAATACTGGTTTGGTGGTAATGAACTCCTTTAGCTTTATCTTGTCTGGGAAGTTCTTTATCTGTCCTTTGATTCTAAATGATAGCTTTGCTGTATAGAGTAATCTTGATTGTAGGTCCTTGCTTTTCATCACTTTGAACGTTTTTTGCCAATCCCCTGTAGCCTGCAAAGTCTCTTTTGAGAAGTCAACGGTTTTAAGGGAACTCCATTGTAGGTAACTTTCTGCTGCTCTTGTGCTGTGCTGTATTTAAGATTCTCTGTCTTTAACCTTTGGCATTTTAATTATGATGTGTCTTGGTGTGGACCTCTTTGGGTTTATCTTATTTGGGATTCCTGCACTACCTTACTTGTATGTCTATTTCCTTCAAGTTAAGGAAGTTTTCTTTCATTATTTTTTCAAATAGGTTTTCAATTTCTTTCTCTCATCTCCTTCAAGCACTCCCATGATATGAATGCTATATGCTTAATGATTATCCCAGAGGCTCCTGACACTCATTATTTTGGATTCTTTTTACTTCTTGCTCTTTTGATTGGTTATTTTTTATTTCCTTATATTTCAAATCACCAATTTGATTCTCAGCTTTATCCACTCTATTGTTGATTCCCTATAAATTGTTATTTCAATTAGTGTATCCTTTGGTTCTGACCGGATCTTTTTTATGATATTGACGTTCTCACTAAGTTCATTGAGCATCCTTATAACCAGTGTTTTGAACTTGTAATCTAGTAGAGTGCTTATCTCCATTTTGTTTCAGTTCTTTTTCTAGAGTTTTGTTCTGTTAATTCACTGGGCCATGTTTCTTTGTCTCCTCATTTTGGCAGCCTCCCTGGGTTTGTTTCTATGTATTAGGTAGAGCTGCAGTGTCTCCAAGGCTTAGTAGAGTGGCCTACTGTAGTAGGTGTCCTGTAGAGTCCAGTGGCACAGCCTGCCCTGTTACCCAGTTTGGGTACTCAAAATGTACCCACCATGTGTGCAGTGTATAGCCTCCTGTTGTATTTGAGCCTTTATTGTTTGCATGTCTGAAGTCAGTCATCACTTATGCTCTCACCAAGGTCACACAGCATAAGCTACAAAGAAATCTGCACATTGTGAATGAAAAGACAACTCTGGAATGGAAAAAAAATATTTGCAGAGCGTATATCTGATAAGGTTTAATATGCAAAATACAAGCAAATAGCAGAAAAAGAAATAACCCATGTAGAAAACATTGATAAAGGACCTGAATAAAAAGTAAATGTGTTCAATGTCATTAATCATTAGGGAAATACAAATCAAAATCACAACGAGATACCACCTTCCACCTGTTAGAATGGCTCTCACTGAAAACATGAGAGAAATTATGTTGAGGCTGTGTAGAAAAGGCAGCCCTCATGCACTGTTGGTGGGAAGGCACATTGGTGCAGCTACTGTGAGAGACAGTATGGAGATTCCTCAAAAAATTAAAAATAGAACTAGGATATGATCCAGCATTCTACTTCTGGTTATATATCCAAAGGAAATGAAATCACCATGTCAAAGAGATCTCTGCACACCATGTTCACTGTGGCATTACCATAGCCAAGATGTGGAAACAATTTGTGTCCATTAAGAGACGAATAGTTAGAGAAAATTGCATACACACACACACATACACACAATCATAAGAAGGAAATCCTGCCATTTGCAACAACATGGATAAAACTAAGGGCATTATGCTGAGTAAAATATGACAAGAAGACAAAACCAAATGATCTCGTTTATATATGGGATTTAAAAACAAACGTTTTCGAATGAATTTTTTAAGCAGAAGATTAGATTTGCAGTTACTTGAGGCAGGGGTGAGCAAATTAAGTGAAGGTGTTCAAAAGGTGTAAACTTGGAGTTATATTAAGGAAGTACTGAGAATGTAACATACAGCATGATGACACTAGGTAACTGCTGATTATTTGAAAGTTGTTAAGAGAATAAATTCTAAAAGTTCTCATGACAATGAAAAATTTTTCATGTATATCTATATGAGAAAATGCATGTTAATTAAACTTAGGGTAATTTTGCAGTATATGTAAGTTAAGTCATGCTGTAAACCTTAAAACTTATTTATACAGTACTATATCTTAGTTATATCAATAAAACTAAAAGAAAGCAATAGTGTGAGAAATGTTGCATCTCAAAAGTAATCAAAGAAATTCACATTGGAGTAATGAGAAATCATTTTAATCACTTGGACTAACAAAATTAATAATAAAATTCATGGTTGTCATGACTGAAAAGAACAGCCACTCTTACAGAAGAAAAAACAGATTTTTAATGACATGGAATGATGTTCCAGATCTATTGGTAAGTGGAAAAACAAGTTACAAAAATACACTATACTATATTTTGTTAGAAATACTATTTTTAGATTTGCAGTATTTTTATATTCATTATTTCAGTATTTTCCGAATTTCTAAACTAAATGTGGTTTCAGAGGAATTGAGATACATAAAGTGATAATGAATATAAAAATGGGGCTTTAGCCCTGGCTGGTGTAGCTCAGTGGATTGAGTACGGGCCTGAGAACCAAAGGATCGTGGTTTGATTCCCAGTCAGGGTACATGCCTGGGTTGCAGGCCAGTTCCCAGCAGGATACACACGAGAAGCAACTGTACATTGATATTTCTCTCCCTCTCTCCTTCCCTTCTCCTCTAAAGATAAATAAATAAAAGCTTAAAAAAATGTATTTTAAAAAAATGGGGCTTTAAGCCCTAACAGATAAGTCTCAGTTTGTTGGGCATTATCCTGCAAAGCAAAAGGTCACTGGTTCAATTCCCGGTCAGGGTACATTCCTGGGTTGCAGGCCTAGTCCCAGGTCCAGGCACATGCGAGAGGCAACCAGAATTATACATCGTACATCAGTGTTTCTCTCCTCCTTCTCCCTTCCTTACTCTCTGAGTATCAGTAATTTTTAAAAATTTTTAAAAATTATGCTTCATTGTTTCACCAGCCATTCTTAGCCTCTGGATCATCACAGATGCTTTCTTTGGTATCTTAGGCTTTTTTGGATGAAGAAAACCATGTTGTATTTCCCCACTCAACTGTGGAAGGCTAGAGAAAATAATTTACTCTGACAAATGGCTTAATAGAATTGAGCATCTAAGGATCTTAGCCCAAATTCCCTGCTGTTTTTCCTTGCATTGCATTTGGGGGACATTTTCATGGTGGTGATTTTATAAAAGTGAGTTAAAGGGCTTTTTGTGTTTCCTGCTTCCTCAGGGCTGCTGGAGTGATGTGGTTGGAAGGCGGTTTTCCTTGCTGGTGTGCATTCTCTTTAGTGCCTTGGGTTATCTTATTCTTGGAGCATCTACCAACGTATTCCTGTTTGCTCTTGGCAGAGTCCCTGTGGGTGAGTTCTCGCCTTTCTGTGTTTTCCTTCAAAATAAATCACTTATATATGTGTGTATGTGTATATGTATATGTACATGCATATGTATGAGGTCTGTCCAGAAAAAGTCCAGCATTGTTAATATAACAAGAATGGTTTGCATGACATCAATGTAACCTGGCAGCCCAGGAGAGTGGACTGGAATGTGCAAGTGTGAACAATGACAACTTCAGTATACTAGTCAGTGGGGTTGGTAGACTCCATTTAGTGAGCATGTGTACTGTGTGGCCGTCACATTCAAAATGAGTGAGGAGGGAAACAAAACTACCAAATTTTTTGTTAAGCTGAAACATTCCTCTGCGGAAACTGTTCGGATGATTCAGGAGGCTTTCGGTGATGATGTAATGAGTTCAGTGCAAATAAAAATATTGTACAAACACTTCAAAGATGGTCGAGAATCTATTGAAAGTGATCCACATTCTCTAAGGTCTGCAACAAGCAGAACACCTGAGAATATCGAATATGTACAGGCTGAAGTCAGCAAAGATTGGCAACTTGACAGTATGAGAACTGGAAGCTGATCTGGATAGTGAAAAAACTGCTGTGTTTGGGATTCACTCTGCAGCTTCTGCTACCAGAACAGAAGGAACATTTTGCTTCAGTTGCTAATGGCTTAATTCAATTCATTACCAATGAACAGATTTGGTGCCCAGTGACTTTAGGCTTTTCCCAAAACTAAAAAAATCTCTTCCCTTTGAAAGGGAAGAGATTTCAAACCGTCAGTGAGGTTTAGGAAAATATGATAGGACAGATGATAATGATTCCAACAAAGGATTTTGCAGAGTGTTATGAGCAGTGGAAGAGACTCTGGGAGAACTGAGGTCCCAAGGTGCTTACTTTCAAGGGGACTAAGAAGTCATTGTCTTATATACAGTGCTTCTTGTTTCTTGTATTTTCTTTAGTAAATATCCTGCTCTCCAATACCTTTTGATTAGAACTTAAGTAAAGAGGAGCACAATGACAATACAAATTAGATCTATAACTCCAGCAGGCACTGTTGATTGAGCATGAAGCATCGGTCAAGCTCTGCTGACCTGTCCAGAGCTTTAATCCTTAGACTTGGTAGAGCCTGGCATCCTTGACATCTGTCAGTATGTATAGCTTTGCTACTACAGTAGGGTAGGGTCCATCTAGCTCATTGCTTCTGGTCTCTCTCCACTCTTAGGAAGAATTTGTTAAATGTCTTTAACCAGCACTGTGGTTACTGTGTGGTCCTCAGTGAGCTTATAGTTTTGAAATTGGGCTTCCTGACCACAAATTGATACTGAGCATTGTAGCTTTCCTATGGCCTTCTATAAAGCTGCCTGTGACTTTGTGGGGGACACTAGGGTTATGATGTAGTGGCTTGTGCGAAAGTTTTGTCTCAGACTACTCTTGAATGTTTCTACCGTTTTTGAAATAGCTTTCATTTTGTCCATTCATTAACATATTTTTTCATCTTTGCAACGCTACCTGTGAGTGCTGGGTGGTGAGGTTGGTAGGTAGTTACTAGGGAAGCTCTTACTCCCTCTCATCCTTTCTTAGTATCAGAGCCCTGGAGTTTGTTTCTTTCTCACTTTACTCTTAGAGCACTCTCAGACTGTGCTACCCTGATGAACAGGTGTTTTGCATTCACCTTTCAAAATTAATGCTCGTTGTTGTTTACTTAATAAAATGGTTTGTGAAGACCTTTGCTTTAAATGTGGTTAATCATCCTAACAAGCCCCACTGCCACACACAAAATTCAATTGATAGCTATTTCATGTGCACCTATGACCAGGTCAATTTAATGTTCTTGGTTTGGGGGACAGGTTGTCCTGCTGCTGTATAATATACTCTGCCAGTCAATGGTAAGGCTGTTCATAATTCAAAAGAAACAGATGAGAGATAAATAGAACCTATATTTGTTACAAAATGGGTAGAGATTTATGTGGAAGATTATATTACTATAAAATAACCTGGTTTGAATAGACATATGCAGAGCAGTGATTCCTTCAAGGAGATCACTGGAAACCACTGTGTCCCATTATGCATAGGAGCAATGACTCAAACTTGCCAGCATCATTTATTAGTAGGACCTACTTATGTCTTGATCAGAATAGTGGGCACCTATGTCACCAGAATTCACCAGTGTATTTGAAAGTATTGATTTGGTACATATAAGTCAAAAGCATCAGCAGAAGTAGTATGAGGAATATAAAGTTGTCACATACACTTTAATCTCTTATTAAGTAATATCTCAGCTTTTAATTTGTTTAGTCAGCAATTTCAGAAGCCTCTTACTAGTAGAAAATCAGTAGTATTGATTAGATGACTACTATGTTATCATATTGATTATTTTCATATTTGTATTTCTGCTTGTCCTTCTTCCCTGCTGTGTTTCTTTCCATAGCAATTACCACCTTTTGTATAGGTGTGCTGGCTCTCTCTGAAGACAGGAATGTAGGTCTTTTTTTTCCCCTCCCTGTTCCTTGCATTACCCCAGGGTCAAAGTCCATGTTGGACCTGTAGTAGGCATGCAGAAGATGTGTATTCCCTGAGTTTATGAATAATGAATGATAAATTTCTATATAGAAATCACCATGAATTGGACTGGGATAGCAGAAAGAACTGGAGACACTGGGACGTCATCATGAGAGCTGGGAAAGCTGAGGAATCAGGAGGTTGGTTACCAGTGACAAGGTGACCAGTCAGGATGATAGGGCTAGACCGGTAGTCCAGTCATGGTTCATGGAACCTGCTGGCCTTAAACGTTCAAAGAAAATGGATTAGAACTCCCATCAGAGATAGAGGTGAAGTGCTGGATCAGAAGCAAACTTTTAATCTGGAAAATGTTACTGAATGTGTTTCTTGTCTCCTTGCAGGTATTTTTAAACATACACTCTCTATTTCAAGGGCTTTGCTTTCTGATCTGGTTCCAGAGAAGGAATGGCCATTAGTCATTGGACAGTTAAATACAGCATCTAGTGTGGGCTTCATTTTGGGCCCCATGGTCGGGGGCTATCTTATTGAACTAGATGGTGGATTTTATCTCACATGCCTCATCTGTTTTTGTGTCTTCATTCTCAATGCTGGTAAGTTGCCATTTAATCATAAGAAGATTATTTGGTTTATTCATTCATACTGTCTAATGTACTTACTTTTATCTCCTTATAATTTGTTTGTCTTCCAATAGGCAGGCTTTTATTAAAAAATGAAAGACCACACCAGCTGCTGCTGCAGCCCTCCTAGTGTGTGCCTGTCATGCTAAAGCACGTGCTTGTCTCACAGCCTGCAGTGTTGAACTCGCCCTGTCTTTGCTTTCCTCCATGTACCTGGACCACAGTGGCTTCCTGGTCCACCTCACATATGCCAGGCTTATTCTTATGGGAGGGCACTGTAATTTGTTCCTTCTTCTACCTGTAGTATTCTTCCCACATTTCTTTACTGGCTCTTCATATCATTCAGGTTTCAAATATTTACTTCCTTAAGAGTCCTTCTTTGATCATACTGTCTAAAATAACTATATTCATAGTTCTTTTGAAACATTATTAATGTGTTTTTTCTCCTCTAACACACACAATTAGAAAGTAAACCACAAAGGTTTCAGATTTTCTCATTGCTATCATCCCTGCCCACCTGCCCAGAAGAGGCCAGGCATATATAGCCAACGTTGGATAGTATTTGATAAATGAAAGAATACATGTTGGAACCTGACCAGGTAGCTCAGTTGGTTAGAACATCGTTCTGATATGCCAAGGTTGCAGGTTTGATCCCTGGTCAGGTACACAGAAGAAGCAAACAGTGAATGCATAAATAAATAGAGCAGCAGATTGATATTTCTTGTCAGTGTCTCTCCCTCTCTCTCTTTCTTTAAAAAAAATAAACAAAGAATACATACAGTACTATGAACTCCTTGAATGATGGGACAGTTGCTCAAAGCAAAGAGGATGAACTTTTTTGCCTAGAGACTGGTGCATGGCCAATCCTTATGTAAACAACGTTATTAACAGGAGGATTTATGTTGTTCAGTTTTTCTAAATTTAATGATGTACTTGACTACAACTTTTTTTTTAAAATATTTTATTTCTTTATCTTTAGAGGGGAAGGGAAGGAGACAGGGAGAGAAACATCAATGTATGGTTGCCTTTTGTGTGTCCCCTGCTGGGAACTGGCCTGCGGGGAACTGGCCTGCAACCCAGGCATGTGCCCTGACTGGAAATTGAACCGCGATTGTCTGGTTCACAGGCTCACACTCAATCCACTGAGCTACACCAGCCGGGGCCTTGACTACAACTTTTTGAATCTTAATATCCAAGGCTTCTGGCTGAGTGGTGAATTCCATGTTGGGTTGGGATATCAGGCTCGGGAAGGAAAGTTTATTCTCAGAGGAATACCGTATTGTTTTCTACCAGAAGTTTAATCTTAGCCAAGAGGAGAGGTCTGATGGATCAGTGTAACTCTGGAGAAAATGGCTTTGTCCTGAGTGGTATGGCTCAGTGGGTTGGGTGCTGTCCCACAGACCAAAGGGTTGCCAGTTTGATTCCTGGTCAGGGGATATGCCTGGGTGCGGGCCAGGTCCTCCGTTGGAACCATGTGAGAGGCAACCAATTGGTGTTTTCCTCACATATCGATGTTTCTGTCTCTCCTTGCCCTCTCTCTAAAAATAAATAAACAAAATATTAAAGAAAAAGAAAATGGCTTCAAACCCATGACTTGGATAATGCAGCCAGGTACCTTTCCATATACAGAAAAGTACATAAATGTGAAGTACGTAGACGTCAGTATATAAACAAAGAACATGACTATTGAGCTCTATTTTGGATTCTGCAATGATAGCACTGTTTAATATTTTGCCCTAACCTAAATATATGAATGGGTCCAAGTTAGGAATACATTCAGCTGCAAATGTTCTCAACTCCAGTTGCTTAAAGTAATAGGGATTTTTCCCACTTAAGAGCTGTGGGGTCAACAGGCTGAGGCAGATGCAGATGCTGGCAGGGGAGGAGCAGGAGAGGGATCGGGGCTGGACAGCAGACCGTCTCAGAGCACTGGGCCTTCCAGTGCATTGAGCATAGTGTAAGGCTGTTTTCCTCATTCCATGTTGTCATACTTTTCTCTTTGATAAGAACGGTTATTTTCTCCTACCTATCTATCCCTTCAGCTTCTTATGTCCTTGCTTTGATTTGCTACTTCTGAAAGAGGGCTTTCATATCTTTTTATCAATGATTAGTTTTTGTCATGGTTAAGAACTCAAACTAGTCTGATAGACTTGGCTTCAAATTCCTGCTCTGCCACTTCTCAGTGTGGGCTTTTGATGAGCTGTCTCAGTTTCCTCTACTATAAAAGGGAATAACAAAACTCATAGACTTGTTATGAGCACTATAAGAGGTTTATATAAGCAGTTTATTCCACTGCTGTGCATATGATAACCACTCAATAAATGTTAGTTATTATCACCATTATCATTTTAATTATTAGTTTAATTATACTTTTTTGTGCATCAGTGACAGTTCTTTCACTTTTTTTTAACAAGATCCTGTGACATATCCAAGGGCCCTTTGAAGATAAGAACAAATGAAAAGTCTGGGTCTGCTTTCTCATGTGATTTGTTTTGTATCATAAAACAGCATGAAGCACTGATCGGCCAGCCACAGGTTGAGGTGTAACTTCAGTCCTTGAGGACTGAAAAACCACACAGGGATGTTAGGAAAGATATCCTAGGATGGCACGCTATTATTTACTTTTAAGAAAGTTTGGGGCATAAATTGGCAAGGGGGCATTCTACTTGCTTGGATCGTGTGAGATCAATAAAACAGCCAAGGCAGGAATGTGCCAGTCACATGAGGGCAGAGGTGGGATTATCTGAACTGAGGTATGAGCTGCTGTGTCAAGTGTATGTCATGGTTGATGAGAAGAGCACCCCCAGAAGTCTCAACAGGAAACCTGTAAGAGTGCAGATTCAAGCAGATGCCCCCTTGACCTTAGTGTCAAGCCACCCCCCTTAGCTAACCACCCCCCTCCCTGCCCCCTTGCCCTTCACGCCAAAGCTGTCTCTGTCCAAAGCATCTGGTGCTTCTCCTGCATAGCGCCTACCCTGGAATCTAATTGCCTGTTTGTGTGTCCTTACCCCCTCTTATGTTTAAGTACTTTGGGTTCAGAGTTGTATAGGCCTTGTCTTGTTTGTTAATATACTGTTTCTAATGTTTAGCACAGGATTCAGGATTTAGCATAAATATTCAGTGTTTGGATGGGTGATGATTATGGTTGGGTAGGTGGGTAGTGGATCATCAGAAAATTAGCAAAGTAATGAGAGAGGAATTTAAATGCGAAGTCTAAGAATTTAGGTATGAAATGATGGGCTATGGGAAACTCTCATAGGTTCCTGAGCTGGGAGGTGGGAATAGTGAATATTATGTAGGTATGGGTTATTTTCTTAGGTGAATTGCAGAATTTTGATACTGAAATGGAATAGAAGTAGCTATGGAAATGGTTAAAAACTGGATTCAAAAATAGAGATTAGCAAATCTGCTAATACAAAAGTACAGGATAATCTAATACTAGTTATTTCTTCTCTCCCCCATGGTAGTGCTGTGTGAATTCAGTGAATTCAGCCTACTTTAACAGACGGTGCCATTTTAACAGGTCTTGTTTGGCTGTTTCCATGGAGTGAAATAAAAGTCAGTAGTACAAAGAATAGCCTGCGATTGGGTAACAACTATGCATCTTTGAGAAAGACAGACCATGAAGTTCAGGAGGCAAACCCTAGCCCTGGGAGCGTGGTGAGTGAGAAGACCCCCAGGCCACCCTGGATGGAAGTCATATCCACACTGCAGGACATGAAGAGCCTAATATTTTCTGAAATATGGGACGTATTTCTAGTGCGTTTGCTGATGGCCATGGCAGCCCTGCTCTACCATAGTAATTTTGTCTTAGCTCTCAAGGAGCGCTTTGGAGTGAGGCCTGTGGTGGCAGGCTACCTCATCAGTTACAGCAGCACCCTGGGGGCCCTGGCTGGCTTGGTCCTGGGTCCCATCCTGCGGCTGTACAGGCACAACTCCCACAGGGTCCTGCTGCACTCCAGTATGCTGACCTTCCTGCTCCTGTTACTCTATTCCATGGCCCCCACCATGGGAACTGTCATTTTCTCCTCCACGCTCCTGGCCTTCTCCACGGCCATTGGCAGGACTTGCATTACAGACCTCCAGCTAACCATGGGTGGGGCCCAGGCCAGGGGCACCCTCATAGGCTTGGGGCAATCAGTGACGGCAATGGGTCGGGTCATGGCCCCCATCCTCTCTGGAGTTGCCCAGGAAGTCAGTCCTTGTGGCCCACCCTGTCTGGGGGCTGCATTAGCCTTGGTGGCTGTTTTTATAATGTCACTAAATAAACCTCGCTATGGTGGTGATAGGACCAATAGATTAAAAAGTGAATAGAATGAATTTAGATAACACAAAGAAGCAAAATTGAAGGTGGTGAATGAGGGGCAAAGGCCAGGTGAGAAGGGTGTTTTGTAAAGGGTGGGTGATCTAAGTGAAGACATATTTCCACTCAAGTTCCAGTCAGCCTCCAGCTCTACATTCAGCCCTGTGGATGAGCAGAAGTCAGAGCCTTGCCAAAGGGGAACATATTAAATATATACCTAAAAGTCTTTTCTTCTCATGTGGGTCAGTGAGCATAAATCAAGGGGAAAAGAGCCACCAGCTACAGGATAAGAAGATAGTGATGGGATGAGAGAACCTGGTAAGTGCAAGAAGGGAAGAGACCCAAGTATTTTCTTTCAAATAAAAATAGGGTAACATTAGTGCTGATCAGCTAGGATACAGGTTCCTTTCAATTGTGTAAGCGAAAAGGGAGATTTTCTACTGTCAAAATGCTAGAGATTGAAGAAGCTGCTTTATTAAAGCTAGTTTGTCACTTCCTCAAGTCATAACAAGGTTATGAATGCTAGTTCCACCTGGGGACCTGGTTAAAAATCAGATGTTCACTCTCACCCCTGAGACTGATTACATGGGCCTAGGTGAGGCCAGATATCTGTTGTGTATGGTTAAGTACCACTTGCAGTTCCTCATGGAATTTGACAAAGGATTCGATTAGAGTAAAACCCAGAGGAAGATTTGGTTTTATTGGTAGCTAACTCAGTTTGTACTGTTGGTTAAAATGTAATCAAATGTGTTATACTTTCCCCAGCTACTAGCATTGTACCCCATAACATTTTGTAAAGAATAAGAGAGTGTCAGGTGTCATACCTTACTGGAGGGACTTAATTCTGGAGTGTCTTGTGTTGAAAATCATTACCTTTACTATCACAGAAGAGCCTATGTTGGTCTACAGGGACACATTTTGGTGTGCGTTTTCCTGGTCCTAGACTGAGCTGCCATTCCAGAATTAGTGCCCAAGGAATGAAGGGCCCAGAATGAGATTAGCACAGGCTTGCACAAAGGCATTTGTAAAGCACATCCCAACCATTGGGATGACATCAGTTATTAATAAAAATTATTTAGGAGCTCCCTCTATTTTCCTCATACAAACTACCAAAATGCACATTCCTGTCAACCTTAATTAGCTCAGTAGGGTATTATTCCTGCTTTCACCCCAAAGCACATATAATTGTAAATAATATTTTAACACCCTAAATTTTTATAATTTTAGTACTTCCTGTATGTTAAGCAGAAAAAAATATTTCTCTAGTGTTAGAAGTTGCATATGGGGTAAACTCAAGTACTTATGATAACAAATTGATTGGAAATTTGAAGATTGTTCTTTATGAGAAAAATATAAACTTTTTATTCTGTTGTAATTCTGAACTTTTATATTGGGTCGGCCAGAAAGTTTGTTTGGTTTCTGTAAAATGGCTCTAGTAGCGCTTAGTTATCTTTAACTTCACTTGAAATAATTTGGTTAGATTGTATTGTGACAGCTGTTATAACAGCATACATTTAAAAAGAAAAACATCAAGATTGGTGTTTTTTTTGTGTGTGTAGCCATTTTAAAATTGAAAATGGAAGAAAATAGTCCTGACTGGTGTGGCTCAGTGGATTGAGTACTGACCTGCAAACCAAAAGGTCACCTGTTCAATTCCTAGTCAGGGCACATGCCTGGGTTTCGTGCCAGGTCCCCAGTAGGGGGCGCACAAGAGGCAACCACACATTGATGTTTCTCTCCTCTTTCTCCCTCCTTCCCCTCTGTCTAAAAATAAATAAGTAAAATCTTAAAAAAGAAAGTAAGAAAATGGGAGAAAATATCAACATTTTCAGAGTATTATGCTTTATTATTTCAAGAAAGGTAAAAACACAACTGAAATGCGAAAAAAGATTTGTGAGGTGTATAGAGAAGGTGCTATGACTGATGGACCATGTCAAAAGTGTTTTGCAAAGTTTTGTGCTGGAGATTTCTCGCTAGGTGATGCTGCATGGTCAGGTAAACCAGTTGAAGTTGATAGGGATAAAAATTGAGACAATAACTGAGAACAATCACTGTTACACCATGTGAGGAGATAGCCAACATACTCAAATACCCAAATCAATAAAGTTATTGGTGAAAATGAAAAATGTGTCTTTTATGGAAAAAAGTAAACAGACCTTTTGGCCAACCCAGGTCCTTAGTGCCTTAGAGGGGACTGAAGTATGATATAAAATGACCTTGCCCTTTAGTAGTATAGCAACTCATCATGGAAATTAGGCTCAAAAGCCAATAAACCAAGGCTTTTTGTAATAAAGTAGAATTTCAGAAGAATTTCTCTAAAAATTGTCTTTTCTTCACTCTCAGAAATAGACAAATTCCTTAGAAGCCATTAAATATGGCCTAGATAAATCATAGCACTTTATTTCCAAAGTTAAATAAAAACCTGTAAACTTAATGAGGGTTTACAGTTAAGCAAAGACTGATCTTAGTCTAGAGAGTAGAGGAATGTTTTTGTTATCCTCCACTGGTAGTTTCTGTGTTTTGTTCAGGTGATTTTTTAAAAAATATTTTGTCATAGCTCCTCTTACTAGTCTGATGTGCTGTTGCTATTCAAGGTGTGTTCTGGGACCAGCAGGGTCAGGGTTCCTGGAGCAGATGCCCCACTTCAGACCTGCTGGAGACCATTTCACAAGACACTCAGCTGCTTTGTATATACAGCAAAGTTTGAAAATCACTATTGTAATGGATAATATTTGTACAGTTTATGGAATATGACCTCAGGGATATTAAATCTGCTCAATTAAAATCTGTGTTGATTTTTAAATGGTTTTGAGTATCGTTTGTAATCCTTTCCAAAGTATTAGCTTGAGCCCCATGAAATTGTAATTTTTGTAAGTCAAAAATATCTGCAGTTTCATGTGATTCAACTTAATTCTTATATGTAATCTTTAGAGGCATTGAACTTAACTTGAAAAATTTATATAGGAAGTGGCACTCTTACAACATTATGCCAACCATAATTGGTAAGTACTGTGAAACAACCTCAGAGTGTGGAGTGTTAGAATGCTTGGCTTTTTCAACAGAGGGGAGGGAGGTATATCTCTGCCCTCATGTCCAAAGGTATGAGCTGTATGCAGAAAGGGAACAGGCAATGCCTGGCCATGAGAGTAATGTGCAGGGCTCCACTTCTCAGGCACGATGGCCTGGAGCAGGGAAGTCTGGAGTTATGCATGAAGCAAATAGCAGGGGCCAGAGTCAGTGGTTCTCTACCCTGGCTGCCCAGATCCTGTCCTGGACCTGGGGAACCAGGTTCTGAAGTGCCTCGTGTTTTTAATGCACACCCAGAGTGGAGAATCACAGGGTTAGACCTGAAAGGGCTCATCCTCTGGGCCATTGGTGAGCTTTTCTGGCAGGTGAGGGAGAACCACTGGTCCTTTTGTGTGTTAGTAGGATCCTCTGGCTATAGCAAGAAATATTAATGGGAGGCCAAGAAGGGAGCCATCTAGACTTTGGAGTAGTAAACCAGAGGACCATGAGGGGGAAGTAGTCCTGGGCACTGAAAGAAGGTAGTAGGTAGGGGGCAAAACCCAGAAATCCTGGCGACTGTTAAGGTGTGGCTGCAGAGAGATTCTTGGAGGGCCCCTGAGTAACAACACTTGGGCCTGCTCTAGGCAAAGCTAAGTGAGGTAAGGTTAGAAAGACCTTTAATGAGAGTGGAGCACATTCTGCCCTATCCTTTGTTAACTGGCAGAGAACATATGTGGACATTGATGGGAATTCTCTAGAACATTAAGAAGGCATCTATCTTTTCTTGAGGATGTTTCTGTAAAAAATCCGTTGGGAGTGGGAGGCATTTCAAGCTAGGGGACATTTCAAGCATTTGGTCAACTGCTTATGGGAGAATAGCTTTTTTTTTTGGAATACATAGTAAAAGCCAGCATGGTGATCTCCCCAGATCACTTTGTTCTTTAAGAAGTCTTGAAATAGATTACCACAGACCCAACCAGGATTGTGTGTGTGTGTGTGTGTGTGTGTGTGTGTGTGTGTGTAATGCAGCTGTTCTTGGAACTGCGGAACCAGGCTCTAAAATATCTAGTGTTTATGATGTATACCCAGAGTTGAGAATCATGGGGTTAGAACCTAAAAAAGAAACATTTTTCAGTTCTAATTTTTTTCTGAAAAATTTGCCAGTTACATGACAATCATTTTCTTTAATAAAATCTTTTAAAATTGTAATGAAATGTTTATTCTGATTATTAATTCTTAGAAGCCATTGTTTGCATCCTGATGTATATTTTAAAGTAGGGTACTGAAGTGCTTGAAAGTTCTAATCTATAGTATGCTAAAACATATCTTAATAAAAAACAAGCCTTTGTCTTTTCTAACCGTATACTAATACATATATAATCTGAAATTCTACACTGATGGCAAGGAAATAGTTTCAAGATAACATGTTTTACTTCTAAGTAATCAGATGCACAAGTACTACCTATTTTAAAACATTTTACTTTAGATGTCTTATTTTCCCATATTGTCTAAACTCACCATTTTGTAGATAGCTGTCTGTTATGAAAGCAGTTACAGAATATCCGCTGTTCTATAATTCACTACGCTGGAAGAAACAGTGCCAATTGTTATTTTGAAAATGGATATTCTCAAAAAGTTTGTGTTGTTCCTGGAGGGAAGCAATCATTATAAACACTATGGAAGTAGAGTTAATTACTAATAATTTAAATGGCATAAAAGTGGACTGTAAGCATCATGGTTGAACAAAGCACTGTATTTTGATCACTGTGGGTTTAAAATATACTACATACTGGTAAATAAAAATTCATTTTCCAAATTATACACTGTGGAGGACAGAACTAGTTAAAATACCTATTAATAGTTACAGTTTATCATGTGAGATAAGAGATGATCTTTCTTCAGGCTTACCGAAGAATCTATTTCATTTTGAATAGCTAGGACTCAGGTTCTTATCCAGACTGAAAACGACTTTTTTCTATGATAGCTCACCTACCAGAACTCTGTTCTGAGTTTGCTGAATGAAACTGAAACTACGTAAACTATCCAGAGTGAACCTAATGGGATAGGTGTGTTCTGCTGCACATGTGATGGGTGTTCCGTGCTTGCCTTTGTCTGTGCCATGTAGGCTGAAGCACAGGCCAGGGCTCTGTGAATTCCAACGTCTGGTAGTAACAGGTGATGAGGTTACTGACCACAGTGAGCATTTTCTTCTGGTCACTTTCACAGCACCTTCACCAAGCCACTTCGAGCTAAAGGTAAGGACTTAAACCAGATACCTGAGAGGAAGAGGTAAACCTGTGTGACATATTGAAAAGTCCTGAAGTAGGTTCTGAACATTCAAAATAATATGCTCTTTATACTAAAAATTTGTTTACAGTGCATGTGTTAACTCAATACAGAAAAACTCATTCCCTGACCATACAGGTAAGAGAACTGACCCACATTTTATTGATTATTCTTAAAAGTAGTAAAGTAGAATTTTATTTTCAAAATATGGACAAAATTAGAGAACAAAACCAAAGGGGTCAGAAAATCATGTGCCAGTGCAACATTTTAGAAACTAAATAATGTAGGCATTATGTCCACACATCTGAAATGGCTGACCCCTTTTGAGGGTGTCAGTCACTTCACATGTGAGATGGGTGGTATTGGAAAAAACTGAAGGGACAAGTCATCAGTGGCAGTGACTGACCCAGTGAAGCTCTTGCTTGCCTTACAAGTGAGTTTAAGAGAAGGTCTGGTTAAAATGCGGGATATAAAGTACCACCAAGCTACCTATTTTATTCCAAAATTTAAAAAGAAAAGTTAACCAAAAACCCCAGTTCAGGAGACTGTTCTGACTCAGGAGCCTTTCTTTTTCAAGTTGACAAAGGGAATCAATATCCAGTGTGCAGACCTCAGCAGATCATGCCAACAACCACTTCAGCTGCACAATAATCACTCCTTAGAGAATAAAGTCAAGTGCAAGCTGTGGACTAACAAGATGTTACAGTTCTCACAATTATGAAATGCCAGTTTTAACATCAACATGACTTAGTGCCACAAATGTAAAACACACTGAGACATATGAATAACTGTGCTGCTTAGGCTCTTTATGTAAATTGTCACCTGCCCCTACCCCCAGGTAGAACAGTGTACCCCTACTTCAAAGTTTAGCAAAAACCAAAGGTAATTTCAATCCAGATAATTTGGAGGCAAGTACACAAAACATGATTTTTTAAAGTATTCAATTTTACAGCCAACTTCTAGTTGTTTGCTAACTGGCATAACTATTTCTAATAGTTGGCCCTTAGAATTATATATAAAGAAATAAGCCCTGACTTTTCACTTACAGGCAGTAAAAATCAAAATTGTTACCACAAACATCAAAGACCCATCAGTGTTCTATAGTCACATTGGAACTTTGGTTGAATGAAGTGTTCCAACTAAGGAAGTCATCACTAAAGTTTGGGGATCTTTCTATATAACTGAAATTTAGATTATCATATTTAGTTCAAATGTTTCAACTTCATACTATCTCCTTCATTAGTATATAGAATTTAATAATTTCATTAAAAAGTATAGAGAAAAGGCTAAACAAAGTCAAATTTATTTTTCATTGTTTATCATTCAATAAGAAAAATTGATACTGATAATAAAATTACATGTTTCTATTTTTAAAATTTACACAGTCATGAAATTTTTTTATCTGACTTTAATAAGTAAAAGCTGAATTTGGTCTATCAACTTGAGGAGTGGTTTTATTAAAAATTTTATTTTATTCTCCTTCAGTTCCAGAGAGTTAGACTCCTTATATAGAACACCAGGAAAAATCAGAAAACATTTTTTAAGGTCATTTTCCATTTCAGCCTTCTTTAAATTTCATATACTAATTTCACAAAATTTACTCTTCGCAGTCTCAAAAGCATATCGCATCTCTTGATGAATCATATTCCTATAATAAAATTGTAAAGTAAATCAGTTTTAATTTTCAGCACATGTAATACATATTTTATATAAATATTTTCATTTAAAATTAATATTTTTGGCACAGAATCCCAGGCTTGTAGTTTTAAATTGTGTCTACACTGCTTTCCATTGTCTACTAGGGAAAGTTTGGAAGGAAACTATATTCTTTGTAAGTCTTGTATCTTGCATGTGTATTCTGCTCTGTCTCACACCTAGCAATCTAGAAGACTTTAGAACATTAAAATAAAAGCTAGAAAATTTGCTTCTCCACATCAGTGGGGGGAAGAGGCAGGGGACAGAAAAGCACTGCCAAGGATTTCTAAGTACTGTGTCTTTAAATTTATTCGTTTTTTTCATCAGTTACACTGTTGTCATTTGTGTCCTTTGCTATGTTTCCAGTTTGAATTCAAGGAACTACATGAGTGGCTTAATTTCATGTCTAAACCCAGAAATTTAGAATCTTGCTCCAGTCAAATTTTAAAGAAGGTTTGTTTTTGTTCTTTTCCAGAAAAAAATAACAGACCAATAAATAAATCTATAGTGTAAGAGACAGAGACTCAAATCATTTTTAATGATTACGTTTCACTGCTTGTCCTTCTGAGGTACTTTTAAAGAGTACTTGGGTGAGTAGAATCCATTTTTATATGAAGAACTGAGTTACCACTTTACTTGGGGAGGAGGGTAAAAAATTTACAGACTAGTGCAAAATAATAGAATGCCCATTTTCCAGAGTGCTTCCTACCCATATAAAATTCAAAACTTGAACTCTAACCAATTTGTTAAGCACTGAAATACTGTTTATACAAACTTTCAATCTTGTCTGCTTAGATCCTGACTTGGATTCAAAGTTCTAGAATGTTCTACAGAAGAATTTTGAAGCGGGTGGTCATAGATGGGTGTGAACAGCAACCTTCCTTCTCCTCCCAGTATCACACACTGTAACACCTGCCAACATGTTTTCAGAGTGTGCTACACTATCTCCCCACATGCCACAGGAGGTCCCCACAGTAGAACTTTATCTAAAGCTGCCAACCAGTCTGTCACATCACAAACTGGTGTCATCCGCACAACCTTTCTTTTTGCATCACTTGAACATAAAAGAGGTGATGGCATCTATATGTCATTCAACACTTGGTAGAATGAGGAACAAATTAAAAACCAGCTGATTTTCATTATTCCATAGGAGTAATGGGACCTCTGATATGACCCTGGGAGCCAGGCTACCATATTGCTGTTCAGCTGAGGATCTGGAAACACTTGGACTCTAGCAGATGGCCCACCAGCCACCAGGAGCTGCCTTCTATGCACAAGGAAGATGCTCTGAGTATATTTAGTGTCATTCACTTAAAAACTGATCACAGATACACACATTTTTTCATAAATAAAATTTGAGGCATATGTATATATTAAAATTTTCACCAACAAGGGTGTGTTAAAAATGTCAAGTTCTGTCATTCAAGTTCTAAAGGCACACATTGTTTTTTTCTTCAGGCCTGCAAAAACTACAACTGCTAGCAACAAGTCATAAGAGACAATCTATGGGTCTTTTTTTTCTTTGATTTTCCTCTTCTTTGGGTAAGCAATTGTCCCATGAACCAGAGGCATGACTCCACCACGCAAAGAGTAGATTTAGACACATAGAGGGTTTGAAATGGATTCCCGTGTGTCAGGTTTTGGAGTAATAATCACAGCTGTACTGAGACAGTCACTGTCCCTCTCCAGGCCTGCTTTGACCGTTTCAATTATGATTTCTCACTCCCAAAGCGCGCTTTCCAGCTTCCAGGCTCTGACGCCCTTCGGACCAACCTGGGAGGTGGCTTGGGTCGGTTGCCTTTAGTCACACTGTCTTCCGGCACCTGGCCAAATTGGCCTTTGGAGAGAAGGGGCTGCTGGAGCACACCTGGGTTCTGCGTGGCCCCCTCTTTGCTGTGGAGAGCTGGGGGTGTGCAGGGCTGCCCTGGGCTGGAATCATTGTCTACCTCATTCTTCCATTCCATTTTGTAGGATTGGGGGGCTTTCTTTGAGAACTGGTCTGGCAAGAAGCACCTGGCTCTGGGTTTTAAATTGAGGACGGTGGTCCCGGCATCTGTGTCTGAGTCGCTGCTGTTGTCACCTACCACAAAGCAAAAGGACATCATGGATAAGCGTTTCAGAGAGGTGTTATCAGTGACTGCAGTATGTTAATGTGGGAGGTCAGAGGGCTCCCTCTTGGCTCTAGCTGTGAGACCTGGGCATTCTGCATGATTTCCATAAGCATTTAAGTCCACAAGCGTGCTCATACTGATTCTGAAGAGTTTTTACTACGTGCCAGGTACTGTCCTCAGCACTTTTAAATACATTAAACTATTTAACAGATTCAAGAGATACCAATAAGTGATGGAGCTGGCATTTCGAGACCATGGAGCAGCCGAGGCTGTGCTCCCATCTGCACCACAGGGACTGTCCTAGGAGGGCTCAGGACACATCTTCCACACAGGAAGACACCAAGAATTGACTGCTATTATAAAGATTCTTGATCTGGAATCATTTATTTTCTTCATATTTTTATAAAAAGGTCAAAACACCAATGTGCACTTTCCAGACGAAGGTAGGAGTCAAGATTAAAACCAGGTCACCATCAAAATTGAGGTCCTGCACTTTTGTGGGCAGGGCAGCCAATGGGATGCTTGCCCAGGAATTGAGAATCTTAGAATTTCTGCTGGATGCTCTGTGGTAACATGGCTAACTGCTCTGAGTACCCAGAACTCCTCTTTTTCTCCCTCACTGCTCACCTCATCCCCCCATTACCATAGGCCACCATGAAACTCAATTCTCCTTGGTTAAATAAATCAACAAGAAGAAAAGGGTGGGGGTATTATTGTTACATCTACATTTTAATAACACGATAATTCTAACATTCTGGGGAGTTCACAGAAAATGGCTTGGAATCTACATAAAAATTATCAAAGATATTAGACTTTATGTCAAAGCTTAAATAATTACATCCAGAAGTAAAATACATGCCTGCCTTTATGAAAAATATTAGAATCACTAAAAATTAAACATATCTTTGCACATTTATAACTACTATTTACCTGTTCACTAACTGCATGGTGATTGATACTTGCTTTTGCTATAGCAAATACAATCATGAAAGATAACTGATTGATACTTTTGATTTGCAAGCTATCAAACTCATTGTGTTTTAATAAAGAAGCAGAATAGGGACATCTTTCTATTCCATACGCATTAGTAAAAAAGTTTCAAGTCTCTGCTCCCACTGTATTCATTACCTGCATTAGAAATACTCTTTTTCTGTAGCTTTTCTGGAAGCTTTGTATTTTTTGGTAAGGATAAGTATCGAGAGGTTGAAGTGGAAGCCTATAAAAAAAGAAAATTTTAGACTAGGTAGATGTTATTGATTATATATTAGAAGTTTAAAATCTTACAACAGATATTAAAAATTAAAATTTTAGTTTTCAGTTTCAAAACTACTTTGTGAGAGGCATTAGGGATGGGGAAGAAAGTTCTAAGCAATAATTATTTAGTTTAAAAGTCACTAAACCTCCTCTGAAATATAGAAGAAATCAGAGTAAAGCAAAATGGAAATAAAGTAAGACAATTGGGAACAAGACGTGAAAACCTTTGGGTTTTCTTAAGGAAAAGCTACTGAACCACCTATTTATATATATATGAGAAGAGAACAGATTAAAAATTGCAGTATATTTTAGTATTTAGTAAGTCTTGAAAATGATGGAACAAAAAATTACTGTAGTTAATTTGCTGACATATCCAATGCCATTTGTCTTTAGTGCCTTTAATTTTTAATCGATGCTGTTATGTTGAACACAAAGGAAAAGATCACCTTATTCACACAAATTTTTAGTATGATAACCAAATACAGAATATTATTAAAAATAAGATGCATGCCTATTGTGTTAAATTAAGCAATCACGGTATCATTTAAAATAACGTCTAGGACCAGGAAAAATGTTGAACAGACTGCCCCGTGAACAAACACCCCAGTCACTGTGGCTTCACGTCAGCACACACAGGCTTGCCCACCTTTGGGCAGCAACCTCTCCCTGGAAAGCTCAGATATTACTTTCCAAATGAATCCTGGCCCAGTCATTCTGTTTAAAATGAAAACTTGTCTGACCCTTCCCAGTACTTGCAAGTTCCTTCCTTGGCAAATTTTAATTGTTTCCATAGCACTTATTGCCTTCTTTATAACAGATAATTTATTCTATTACTGATCATTTTCCCCCTGACAAGAATATAAATTCTGCAAGTGTAGGAATTTTTCAATTTTGTTTGTCAATGTACTGCAAGGGCCTAGAACTGTGCCTGGAACATAGTAGGTGTTCAAGAAACATCTCAAACACTTTTAAGTCAACTCTACCCCATAATTACTGTGACGACCCTTCAGCACAGCCTCAGGAGCAGCTGCTGGCTCAGCCTTTAGAAGCAGTCCACATCCCAGCCACACACACTCCAGTTACCCTACGCTCCCGGTTCAAGCTACTGTCCTTCCTGATGCTCTCTCGCAGACTGTGCCTTCGGCGGATCAGGATCTCTTTGGCCTGCCTCTCACTTGTATCAGCTGTCAGGTTGTGTCTGTTGTATGACAACGTCTGAAATAAAAACAAGTGACATTTTTTACAAAGCCTGTTCACTCCCCCCAGACATTCCAAAACTTTACTGTTTCTTTGACTTTGCATCTCAGCAAAGTACTTACCCAATGTGCAGAGGGACAAAAATGTATGAAAGTTAACATTGTTTGAAATTTTGAAAGAATTTGGCTTCTAATAAAGCCAATGAATAGTTTTTTTATTGGAAAGTGTGATCCTTTATAATTAAGAAAAATGATTGAATTCATCAAGTGCCTTCATCTAACTTCTAAGTACCTTATATATATTTTACCTATCATTAGCAGCTAGGGAAAAAATACATGTCTTCATCTATTCTTTGTTGAATAACAATTACTGGTATAAAAACAAATCACCCTGAGACACTTATTGGTGCCATGTCCATATGAGTAAGGAAAAGTTCTTCTCAGCTGGGTTGTCAAGTTGAGAAAGCTGCTGCTACCACTAGCAATGATTATGACCTGGCATTTAAAGCAGTAAAATGTTAAGGTGGCTGTATATGGCATACATTTTTAGTTTTATAGGCTACACAGAAATCTGTTGCCTAAAACAAATTATAATTTGTAAGTAGGTTCATTTTCTGATAGAATTAATGTACACTTCTTGGGAATATCCCTGTGTCCATACTATATAAGGCTTAGCAGATAAGTGGAAAAGAAACAGAACAGGGCTCAACTCCTGCCTTGAGATGTACCATCTAGTTGGGCATCTAAGGCTAACAAAATAATGTAAATTAGGTATTAAGGGCTAGACTTAACTGGTACAGCACTGCAGCATGAGCTTATTTAAAGACAAAGTTGGGAATAATATGGAAGACTTGGGGGAACATTAAAAATTCAAGAATATGGATCAACTGAACTGACAAAGCAGCAGTGGAGAGAAGGAAATACTGCTATTACAAGGTGTTTTAGTGCCCTTGGCAGTGTGGCTCACTTGGCTGGAGCATTCTCCAGTAAGCCAAAAGATCACAGGTTCCATCTTTGGTCAAGATATATGCCTAAACTGCAGGTTTGATCGCTGTTTGGAGCATGTACAGGAGGCAAAGGATCTGATTCTCTCCCTCCTTTCCATTCTTTCTAAAAATCAATAAGCATGTCCTCTGGTGAGGATTTTAAAAAGGGTATTTTTTAATATAACTTTTTTAAAAGATTTTATTTATCTCTAGAGGGGAAGGGAAAGAGAGAGGGAGAGAAATATCAATGTATGGTTGCCTCTCGTGCATCCCCTGCTGGAAACTGGCCTGCAACTCAGGCATGTGCCCTGACTGGGAATCGAAATGCGGTTGTTTGCTTTGCAGGCCCGCGCTCAATCCACTGAGCTACACCAGCCAGGGCAGGTGCTTTTTTTTTAAAGGTGATTTAGGGAAAAGGGTGGAGGAATGAACAGTAATATAGAATGGAATGGGGACAACCTTTGGGGAGAACAGCTAAGAAGCTACACAGATGACCCCAGCATGAGTGAAGAGGAATTCTAACAAGCAGTGTGTCCCTTAGACCATTTCGTCTCCCTGTACCTTAATTTCTTCATCTGTAAAGTGGAGACAAAAGTAACACCATTTGTTAGAAGATAAAATGAACTAATGCATCCAATGTGCTGAAATGGGCTTGGCAAATTGTACGTCTTCACTAAATGTTAACCACATTATTAGCAAACTATTAGAATAAGGAGTAAACAATGAAAATGGGAAGGGAGTAAAAGAAAACTACTTGAACAATAATTAAAAAATATTTTTAAAAAATTAAAAATGCAGTTAAACCATTCAGATGACATTACAGGAAGAAACTACTAAAGGAAGCACTTTTTGAATAATAAAAGTTAAGAAGTCTTCTTAACTTTTTAGAAGTCTTCTAAGCTATGAAGGTATTTCATTAAAAATAATTATTTTCATATATATGAAAAACATTTTATAAAAAATATATATATATACGTATTTTATATATATATATAATCTCCAAGCCTGTAGTCACAGAATTCCCAGAAGGCTTCACCAGTGATGTCCAGAGGAGAGTTGTACCCTAGTGGCTGCATGTTGAAATGGGGTCTGAGGGAAGATGTCTGCTGTGGGAATTCAGAGGTTGGTGTAATGATGGGACAGTATCCATTATAATTGGACAGCACAAAATCAGAAAGCATATTTATAGTCAAAAGCAAGTAAATATTTTGTTAAATAAATTATTCTCACTCGCTGACGAATTTGGTAGAGATTTCTTGATAATATTTCCCGAATTTCATCCATTTCACCAGGTGTAAGCTTCCTTATTTTTTCTTCACGACAGTCACTGTGAATTTTTAGAAAAAGAATGTTTTACTATTTAATAAATATTGAAGTCAACAATACTCTTCTTAAAGACAATATCATTATTTTATAAGAATAATCTTAGTTTACAGTATGACACTTAGAAATTACTCAACATTTTAAAGTTAATTTAAAATTCTAAAAGTTTTGCCCTAGTGTTGAAATCATTCAGGCCAAGTTTTTTTTAATTATATTTTTTTTTTTTTTTTAAGTGGGGGGGGGTTTTTTTTTTGTTTTTTTTTTTTGTTCTTATTTTATTTTACTTTTTGTGTACAAATTGGAAAAAAAATTGAGTTGATCGACATGCAGGTTCCCAAATAAGCTATGCTTTGCCTTCTTGTTTTAGTTCTCATACTGTTAAAAAGTGTCCTCACAGTGTATTTACTGACACATTTTTCACAATTTTGCATTTTTTTGCTGGTGATTTTGCTGTTTTAAGCATAGCTCTGAAATAAGGTCTAGTGTTCATATGTGCATACGGCTGTTATGGGCCTTCTGGAGAAAAGTTGTGTTAGATAGGCTTTATTCAAGCATGAATTCTGGTGCCAATGATCACAAGTTCAATATTAATGATACAATAATATATTTTAAATAATTTTTAAGATGTTATTTATTTATTTTTAGAGAGAAGGGGTGGGAGGGCGAAAGAGAAGAGAAACATGGATGTGCAAGAGAAGCATCGATCAGTTTGTTGCCTCTTGTGTGCCCCCTACTGGAGACCTGACCTGCAACCCAGGCGTGTGCCCTGACTAGAAATTGAACCAGCAATCTTTTGGTTGTCAGTTCAGCACTCAGATGATATTGGGCATGTTCAGGGTGGTATGGCTGTAGACTCAGATCGGCCCTCAATCCACCGAGCCACACCAGCCAGGTGTTTTTAAACAGATCAAGATTGTGTATTGATTGGCTGATTAAAATATTGTAACCAGAGATTCACAGAAACCTAACCCTGTATTTTCCTACAGGAGCAATGGTTCAGTATTTGCAAATCAATCTCCATGGGCAACTTTATAAAACTTCAAGTACTTCAAGCAATGAAAATTAACCAAATTTATGTATTTGTACTCTAAGTCCTTCAAAATGATTTTGAGGAGGTTTCCAAAAATATAGTACAATAAAATAAGTAGATAAAATAAATTAAGAAAGTAAAGCTGGGGTAGTTATATAAATGGCTCTGGTCAGTGTGGCTTAGTTGGTTGGAGTGTTGTCCTGTAACCAAAAAGTTGTGGGTTCAATTCCCAGTCAGGGCACGTGCCTAGTTTGCAGTTTCAGTGCCTGGTCAGGGTACACACAAGAAGCAACAAATCACCAATTGATGTTTCTCACATCTATTTCTCTTTCTCCCTTCTTTCCCCATCTCTCCCTCTCTTTCACACTCCCTCCCCCATCTCTCTAAAATCAGTAAGTATATACTCCAGTGAGGATTAAAAATATGTGTGTGTGCATGCAGTAAGCAACAGCACACAAAATAAAGAACATAGTTGCACACCCCTAACGAGAGACTTGGCCTTCAACCCAGGCATGTTCCCTGACTGGGAATTGAACCAGCAACCTCTTGTATTTATATTTTAGTTATGTTTTTAATCATAGGAAGAGAGGAAGGGAAAGAGAGAGAGAGAGAGAGAACCATCAATGTGCGCAAGAAACACAGCTCAGTCACCTCTCATATAAACCCTAACCAGGGAACAAACCTGCAATGTAGGTGTGTGCCCTGACCAGGAATTGAACCTTCAACCTTTTTGTGTTGTGGACCATGCTCCAACCAACAGAACCACCCAGCCAGAGCTTTTATATTATTTTTAAATGCAAAGTTCCTGTTACTATAAACCAACAATAATGGTAATTACTGGTATACAAATACCCATGCCCAGTGGTAATGGATACACACAAAGGAATGAACAAAGAAATTCAAAGCTTCAATAGGATAGGCTTCCCTATATTTAGATGATTCATTACTGCCTCAACCTCAATTGCTTATATAATTTTGTAAGAAGCATCTTTTTAGAACGAAATGTTGTTTAGATAGCTATCTAACTTTCTAGTTAGGTTTTTTGAACAGCAAATTTTATTCACAGAATTTTAAAATTGAACAAATAAGGTCAATATATAGCAATCTTTTTTGGTGACTGATTATATTGTTTGATGTTCCCACCAAGTTTTAACAAAGATATGTTTGCATAAGTCTAGTGATAAGTGTGACAACCACTTCCTATGTTTATACTTAAAACTATAGTTATTTGTATATTAAAAATAAAAATTTGTATATTTTTAATTGTGGTTGTTAAGTTTTACTTCATATATTTTGAGGCTATATTATTTGTATGCTGATAATTTAGAATTGTTATGCTTTCTTATAGATTTGAAAATTTATCTTATAAGACACATTTCTTTATCTCTAGCAATATTTTTCATAATGTTTACATTTGATAGTAAAATGTAATTACATAAGCTTTTTTTGTTTAGTGCTTTAACAATACATCTTTTTTCAACCTTTTATCTGTAACCTTACTATTCTCTTACATATAAGTAGTATAGTTTATAAACAACATCTGGTAAGTTGTGTATTTTTATCCATTCTGATCATCTCTCCCTTTTAAATGGAGTAAATTTATATTTAATGTAATTGGGTTTAAGACTATTTTCTTACTATTTGCGTTATATTTTTCCCATATGTTCTATGATTGTTTTATCTACTTTGTTTTCATTTTAAAATTTGTTTTATTTTGTTATTTCATTTCCTTTCTTTGTTTGCTTGTTACATTATTTTACTATTTTTTAGTGATTACCTGGAATTATAATATTACTCATTGACTTACTAAAGTCCGAAATACATTTTCATTTTTACCACTTTCTGGACAATGCAAGGACCTTAGAACACACTAATACCATTCACCTCCCTCTCAATTTATAAGTGATTATTGTTTTTAGTTTTAAGTTATTACAGATTTAAAACACCATAGACTATTATTTTATGTAACACTCATTTAAATTTTACAAATATTTACCATTTTCATTGTTTTAATTCCTTTCTTCATCTGCAAGGTTTTCTATGAAACTTTTTTTCATCTTTTAACATTTAAAAATTGTTGTTCAAGTACAATTGTCTGCCTTTTCCCCCACCACATCCCCCAACCACAGCCATCCCCACCTCCCACCCCTGATTCCACTGTCTCCTGGTTTCCTCCCTGTCCTTTATAGTTGTTCCTGAGAACCCCTCCCCCTTTCCTCCCCATTATTGCCTCCCACCTCCCCTCTGCTTACTGTCAGATTGTTCTTAATTTCAATGTCTCTGGTTATATTTTGCTTGCTTGCTTGTTTTGTTGATTAGGTTCCACTTATAGGTAAGGCCATATGGTATTTGTCCCTCACCACCTGGCTTATTTCACTTAGCATAATGCTCTCCAGTTCCATACATGCTGTTGCAAAGGGCAGGAGCTCCTTCTTTCTTTCTGCTGCATACCATTTCATTGTGTAAAGGTACTGTAGTTTTCCGATTCATTCATTTACTGATGGGCACCTAGGTTGCTTCCAGCACTTGGCTATTGTAAATTGTGCTGCTATGAACATTGGGTGTATAGATTCTTTTGGATTGGTGTTTCGGGATTCTTAAGATATAATCCCAGCAGTGGAATTGCAGGGTCAAAAGGCAGTTCCATTTTTAGTTTTCTGAGGAAATTCCATACTGTTTTCCACAGTTGGTACACCAGTCTGCAATCCCACCAATAGTGCACTAGGGTTCCCTGTTCTCCACAGCTTCTCCAACATTTGTTTGTTGATTTGTTTATGATGGTCATTCTCACCTGTGTGAAGTGGTATCTCCTTGTGGTTTTTTTTCTTTAAATATATGTTATTGATTATGCCATTATAGTTGTCCTATTTCCCCCCTTCATTCCCCTCCACCCTGCACACCCCTCCCCCACCATTCCCCCCTTTAGTTCATGAACACGTGTCTCAAGTTCTTTAGATTCTATATTTCCCCTACTATTCTTGCCCTCCCCCTATCTATTTTCTACCTACCATGTATGCTACTTATTTTCTGTACCTTCTCCCCCCTTCTCCTCCTCCCACTTTCCTCCATGCAATCTCCATTTCTATGATTTCTGCTCCTGATCTAGCTGTCCTCTTAGTTTGCTTTTGTTTTAGGTATGGTTGTTAATAACTGTGAGTTTGCTGTCCTTTCACTGTTTGTATCTTTTTTAATTTCTTATTCTTAGATAAGTCCCTTCAACATTTCATGTAATAAGGGCTTGGTGATGATGAACTCCTTGAATGTGATCTTATCTGAAAAGCACTTTATCTGCCCTTCCATTCTAAATGAAAACTTTGCTGGATAGAGCAATCTTGGTTGTAGGTCTTTGGATTTCATGACTTGGAATACTTCTTTCCAGCCCCTTCTTGCCTGTAAGGTCTCTTTGGAGAAATCAGCTGACAGTCTGATGGGAACTCCTTTGTAGGTGACTGTCCCCTTATCTCTTGCTGCTTCTAGGATTCTCTCCTTCATTTTAATCTTGGTTAATGTAATGATGATGTGCCTTGGTGTGTTCCTTCTTGGGTCCAACTTCTTTGGGACTCTCTGAGCTTCCTGGATTTCCTGGAAGTCTCTTTCCTTTGCCAGATTGGGGAGGTTCTCCTTAATTATTTGTTCAAACAAGTTTTCTACTCATAGCTGTTCCTCTTCTTCTGGTACCCCTATAATTCAGATGTTGGAGCATTTAAAGATGTCCTGGAGGTTCCTAAGCCCCTCCTCATTTTTTTTTGAATTCTTGTTTCTTCATCCTTTTCTGTTTAGTCATTTTTTTCTTCTTTCTGGTCCACTCCCTTGATTTGAGTCCCAGTTTCCTTTTCATCACTATTGGTTTCCTGTGCATTACCATTCATTTCAATTAGTTTAGCCTTCATATGTTCCTCTAATTTGTGACTAAAATCAACTAGTTCTATGAGCATCCTGATCACCAGTGTTTTGAACTGTGCATCTGAAAGGTTGGCTATCTGTTTGTTGCTTAGAAGTATTGGCTCTGGGGCTTTGAGTTGTTCTTCTTCTTAAGCCATAATGTTTTGCTCTGTTTGTGCCCGTTAGGTATTAGGAGCGGAGCCTTACATGTTCACCAGGGTGGGGCGACCCAGTCACTGGTTTGTGATGCTGTATGTGGGGGCGGAGTCAGAGAGGGGCAATGGCATTTGTTCTGCTCTCTCTCAGATTTTGGTCCTTTCTGCTGCTTCCCGCAAGCAAACCTGGCCCCCCTGGTGCCAGCTCCCAGGTGTGTGGGCCTGTGCACCCTCTAGTACCCTGTGGGTCTCTCCAACAAACTCTCTGTGAGCCTGGGAGCCTCTCCCAAAACCTCAACCCCTGAAAGTCTTTCCAATTGGTGTTTTCAGGCTCTAATTCCCGTCTCTGGAGCCCTAGCCTGGGTGGTCTCCAGCTTGCTGTCTCACTGCTCGCTCCTTCGCTTGGTTTATCTGCATGCGAATGTGTGACCGTGGTCAGCCAGCCATCTTGCGCCCCCACTGGGTCCGCCAACTGCCACCCCACAACTGGGATCCACCAACTGCCACCTGCGCTCCTGTATGCCTGGGCTGGTCCAGCCGATCTTTCCTGCCCAACCCCACTCTGCTGCTGACTCAGCCCCTCTTACCAGTCTGGCTGAATGGTTCATTGTTGTCAGACTTCCATACAGTTCAATTTTCTGTGCTTTGGCTGTGTTTTTGTCACTAAAACTTTGTTGTCTTTAAACTTGGCTGTGCGAGGAGGTATAGTGTTTCCACCTATGCCTCCATCTTGGCTAGAAGTCCTCCTTGTGGTTTTAATTTGCTTCTCTCTGATGGCTAGTGATGCTGAACATGTTTTCATACCACCCTGAATGCGCCTGATCTCATCTGAAACTCTTTTCTTTTTGTCTGAAACTCTTTATCTTTTACTTTAATGTGATGGTTTTTATTTGTCTGAAATGTTTTTACTTTAGTTTCTTGAAGGGTATTTTAGTGGTCTATGAAACTCTAGCTTATATGCTTACCTTCAGAATTTCAAAGATACCAATGATTTGTAGCATTGTTATTGAAAAATATTTGTCGGTTTTTTCTCTTTTGAAGAAAATAGGTCCCTTTTTTTCCCTCTGAGTATGCTTAAACTTTTCTCTATGGAGATTTTGATTTTTAGCAGTTTCTACTATCATGTACCTTGATTTGTTTTTTTTAATCTAATTTCCTTGGTGTTTGCCACTGTTCATGTCTTTTATCTGTTTGGATAAATTATTAATCATTTTGTCTTAAATTGCTTCTACCAATTTTTTCTCTCATCTCCTTCTGGAACTTTTTACTATCTCCGAAATGTTCCTTACTTTCTTTTTGACATCTTTTATCCTTTTTTTCACTTTCTGTTTAATTCTGGTTATATTTTTTCTGTCCTATCTCCCAAATAATCAAGTATCTCTTCAGGTATATTTAACCTGTGCTTATACCTCTCAAATGAGATCCTAAATTTAGTTGCTTTATTTTTAGCTCAAATATTCCATTAACATACTTTTAGTCATATAATCTCCATGATAATACCAAAATATCAATGCCATTTTTTCTTAAGCACATTATTTTTATTTTAAAGTTCATGTTTGATAACTCAATTATATGAGTTCCCTTAATTATTACTACTGTATTCATATCTTTTTCTCAATGTTTTCAGTCATATTTATATACTCATATTCTTTTGATTGGTTGCTAGACATAAATATGAAAAAGCATAGAGATAGTTTAAATCTCTTTAAAATCTTACTTTCTTCCAGAGAAGGTTTAAGTTTACTTCTCTCAGGAAACTGGAAAAGGAGTAATATTAACCTCAAATGATATAAACAATCATAGATTAAGATAATCCTAGATTGGGCTTCTTTTATTTGAAGGTTAACATGCAGAATTTTGAGGTGAGCCTATGGCTGGATACAAAAACTCCTCTTTCTTTGTGGGTGCTGAATTCCAATTTTATTCACTAAGATCAATCAGTGTCAAAACCTCTGTTTTAACCTTTTAGGCTTTCAGACACTTCCTCTGTAATCCAGGGAGGAAAACTGCACCAAATGCCAGTGCCATCTTCTTAGAATTCCCTCTTTTATTTACTCTTGGATAACAGAGATCTTCAATGTTCTAGTACTCTCTGGCTTTCAAGCAGATTTGTAAAGTATATTTGTACTTTATTCCTTGTTATTCTCAAAAGATGGTTTGGTCTGTAATAGCCCATTATTATCAAAATATAATTCCTTATTATCTCCTTTTTGCTTTTACTTTCCCAGTCAGGGGTGTCCAACCTGTTGCCCATGGGCCATATGTGGCCCAGGATGGCTATGAATGCAGCCCAACACTAAATTGTAAATTCACTTAAAATATTATGAGACTTATTTTGTGATTATGTGTCACAATGTATTTAAAGTGTGGTCTAAGACAACTCTTCTTCTTCCAGTGTGGCCCAGAGATGCCAAAAGTTGGATACCCTGTGACTCTAGATAAAACATTTTAGGAGATGTGCAATGGTCAATATGGCACTTGTGTAGCCAATTATGCAGCTAGCCATTAATTTTGGTCCCTAGTTTCCTAACCCTAAACATTTGCCTTTACTCTGTTTACTACTGACGTCAAAATGAACTGTGAGGAAAACTGAGAATTCATTCTTCTGTGATCACTATGGCAATGGCTCTTCTTTGAGAAAATGGATAATTGAATTATTTCTTGCTTTAACTGAAAATGGAATAGTGCATACAAAAGGTCATAAAATTATAAAGCTAAAGGGAAACTTAAGGATCAAGACAAGCTTCATTTTCTACTTGAAAAATATCAATCTCAGGGCAATAAATAGACCACCTTTAGGTCATGCAGAGAGTTATTTGCAGACCGGGACCATAAGTCAGTCATCTCAGTTCACAGCTATTTATAATGCAGTGTAATGCCTTTACCTCCAAGCCATTCTGATCACTATTTCTTTTTATTCTCGATTGTATAAACTCTCATAATTTATATAGTAGACTTAGAGTCCTAGTAAAAATCATAGTTTATATGATTGGGTATGATTTAAAGCCTCCTGTCTCATTTAAACTCTCTCACAGATAGAATTTTAATTAGGTGACATTTAATTTAAATAAGCTTCAAACTCATCAGTAAAAGAAGAAACCAGTGGAACCTGTAGTTTCTATCACTTTTGCAAAGGAAAGGAATAATATTACATGATGATATAACCTCATTTGCTCACTGAGTATTTACTGTTCTGCTATAATTTTGCAATAAAATTTTGGGCAAATCACTTCACAATTCTAAGTATTAATTTCCTCTCTTTTAAAGTTAAAAAGACATACTATATCAGTGGATCTCAATCCTGGCTTCATATTAGAAACATCTTAAAAACTTACAAAGATCTAAACTTGGTCCTCCATACAAGTGATTCTAACTTTATTTGTCAGGGCAGGATCCAGGCATCTGCATTATTTAATGACCCCAAGCTGTTTCTAACATGTAGCCTAGGTTGAGAAACACTGCAGCAGGTGGTCACTAAATTAAGGTTCTTTCCAGGCCTTAAACAATGAGACTGTGAGTCATGTATAGAGAAATAGCTAAATAGCTACATGTATAATAGAAAATATAACACATCTTAAAATGCCTTCAAAACATCTTCAAAATGCCTGCTAAGGAGACTTAAATTTACTTTAAAAAATCACTGAATTGCCTAAAGCAAAGGTAATAAATGCATAATCATTCTACATGTGACAAAATATTGTCTGACTAGTCAAATCTAAAATAATATAACAATGAGACATAACATGACAACATAAGATACACATTTCTAGACTTTAATATTTTAAACAGAATCTCATTCTTCTGTGAGGTCTTAGAGTATCTCTCTAGGACATAGGTCAAATTTGTTATTACTGATATGAAAACTAAAAAAAATATAAAGACCTACTTAGTAATACTTTTATTTGTAAAATAGTACATACTTTAAAGATGCAAAAGAAGGAACAGCGCTTATCATCCCAGTCTCTGCCATTTCAATGGCATGCTTTATTTCAAGCTTTTTATATAAAGACACGATGCTTGATTTGGGTTGGTTTTCCCGAATCAAAAGCTTCCGCAGGTATTTGTCATCAAACTTCTTAAACCTGAAAATAAAAAAAACAAAAACTTCAATTAACTAATACTACACTGAGTAAGAAAATCAGCAATAAAATCAGTTCCACTATTTCCAGGGGGAAAGTATAGTAGCAATGTTTAGCGAGTCATCATTATAATTATTTTATATGTGTATACATGAACACAATTTTATATAAAATATGTATGCAAATATATAAAATATATATAGTACATGTTGATACATTTTTATATACAGCCATGGCATACACAAATCTAATATGTGTATTTCTACATTTTCTATTTCTCTACTTCCCCTTTCAGCAAAAGTCTTCAAAAGTACTGCTAATACTTGGTATTTATAATTCTCCATTGATCCTCTCTTGAACATTCACAAATCAGGCTTTTGCCTTCAATACTCCATTCCAACTACCCAAATTGAGGTGATCAGTGACACCCCACACACACAATATAAATCCAACCAGTTTTTTAGCTCTCAGATTTTATGATCTCTTCTGCTTAAAACATGGTCTTCCTGGATACCACACTCCCCTGGATCTCTGCCTGGTTCTTTTCAACATTTTTTTTTAATTTTAAATTCTTCTTCTACTTTCTGTCCTCTTCATATAGCAGTCCCCCTGGGGTCAATCTTTCTCTGCCACTATTCACTCTCCTGGTGACCTTGCCCAGTCTTGTGGATTTTAATAGCGTATCTATGACAGTGACTCTCAAATTTGTATCTCTAGCTCCAACCTCTCTCCCAACCCCCGAAATAAATGTGCAGTTGCCTAATTAACATCTCCACTTGGATAGCTAATAGACATCTTAAATTCAGTATGCTCAAACTGAATTCATCTTCTTCTGTAATCCTCTGCATTTCTGTTAATAATAACTCTACCAAGTTAAAACACTGATGTCAACTTTGATTCTTCTTCTCTCATATTCCATGTTATGGTCTGAATATGTTGAAGCCATAACTCTAGTCCATCAGAATGTGGCCATATTTGGAGACAGGGTCTTTACAGGAGTGATTAAGTGAAAATGAGATCACCTGAGTGGGCTTGATTCCAATATGATGGGTGTCTGTATAATACGAGGAAACTTGGACAGGTGTACAGAGGGAGGCATGAAGAGGCATGAAGGAGAGAGGCCTAAGCCTATAAGAAGCCCTTCCCTCATGGTCCTCAGAAGGAACAAAATCTACTAACATTTTGATCTGGTGCTCTGAGCCCACAGAACTGAGAAAATAAATTGTTATTGGTTAAGCCACCCAACCTCTGGTACTTTGTTATATAACGTACCTCTAGCAAACTAATCCTCTCTATCTAGTCTATCAACAGTTTCTGTTGGTGCCACCATCAAAATACATACAAAATCTCACTATTTCTCACAACTTCTACTACCATTACCCTGATTCAAGATACATCATCTCTCAATGAATTCTTGCAATTGGTACCTGATTGGTCTGCTTCCACTATTGCATTCCTATAGCCTATCCTTGACACAGAAGCCAGAGTGATACTGTTAAAATGTAAGTCAAACAACATGACTCCTCTGCCTCTAACTTGAGTACACAATGACCTGAAAGCCATACACAACTTGGAGCTGCACCTCTTAGTACCATGCTTCTGTTACTCAGGTCCAGATTCACTAGTATCCGGGAAACTTGGCAGCTGTGTTCTCACCTGTGAGCTTTCATATTTACTACTACTTCTACTAGGAATATTCCAACATACCTGCAGGTTCATTCTCATGTCTCATTTAAATCTTTCCTCAATGGTCATTTTTCCAAAAGAGAAAAATGCATCCCACTAACATGCATGTCACCCCTCACCCTCACCACCAAACTTCCTATTCTGTTTCATGGATACATTTTTCTTTGTAGAAGTTATTTTCTAACATGCTATTAATTTATTATTTATGATATTTTTTGTTTCCTAGCATAAGACTGATCTATATGGGCAAAGGTTGGTTATTATTGTTTTCCCATATCACCAGTGCATAGAACAGTGCCTGGCACACTGGTAAGCATGTATGAATGAATTATTTGGTCCCAATTCTTTCCTGTTTCCATATCTTCTTATTACTTGGCACTGTCTTTCTACCATGGCCTAAGTAACTTATCCTGTCCTACTTCCTGCCACTGGTCTCAATAGTGTTACTTGCTTTGGTCAGTGGGCTACTAGCAGATGTGATGATGGTAGCAAAGGCTTAAAATGAGCTTGCTCATTATATCATACCTCTTGTCCTCCCCCCTAGTCACAGAGAAGGCCAGCTGGGACCAGCTGACAACCAAACAAACTACTGAAGCACAAGCAAGTCCAGCCCAAATCAGTTGACTCGAAACATCCTAACTCAGGTGCTTTAATAATAAGTGACTATCACTTTGAGCAGCTGACTATTGGGGTGGTTTGTTGTATAACATTATTACACCAATATATAAATGGAACAGCATACAGTAAATGCTTGTTGAGAAAGAAAGAAAAATTTATTACAGTGATCCCCATAAGCCTAAGGAGGTTTATAGGCACATTTGTGCTATGAAAACAAAACAAAGAAAAAACAACATTACCCACATTCTTGTTTCAAAATACTGGAGGGCTATGAACAATTAAAGAGATCACCCTTAAAGTGCTTTGCTATTGACTGGCCACTGCACTAAATACTGGACCTACTTTTCCTATAAGTTTGAGCAGGATTCTTGGCAGCAACACATCTTTTTAAACTACTTTTATTATTATTATTATTATTATTATTACCATCATAATCATTGTCATTGCTACTATTATTAATTTAGCTTTTCACTAGAGATAAACAAAACAAAGAGTAAACATTAAGGACAATGACACCTGATCTATTTAGTGTAGGAGCTGTGCACTTTCTTTTTTTGCTTTATTATCACACCTTTCACTTCTCTGCCAGGCTACACATGCACAGTTTCTTTCTCCATCATTACACTCCTTTTCCAAGTTTGAGAAACTTCTCTACTGCATTTCCCTGTCATGTCTTTCTCAAAGGATCAAATGCCTTAAGAATTCTGTGGCAGGACCACCAGAAATTCAAAGTGTATTTCATAAGAAAGAAAAGATAGCCAACATACCTAAAACAATCACTTCTTTTTATGTCATATTTAGTAATACCAACAATTATTACATGTTAGAGATAGGATCTGAGCAGAACTAAAGTTAAAAATGGCTTGTATCAGCACCAAATCCCTTCATACCACCTCCCTGGGATATAGAATGCACTTGACAATCCAGAAAATTATTTAAAATTTATCTGTAAAACATTGTGCATAGGAAAACTGAAAGACTTATAAATTTATTAAATGAACTATGTATACTTCAGAAAAAAATATTAGACATGTGACAATGTTACCTTTCTGACATGTGTCAAAGTTGTCTCTGGCACATTTAGTACTTATAGTCCATTTAGCCTGATGATTGTAGGTGTTTGCCTGGAATAAACTTATGTGCCCCAGAGATAAAGTACCTCTCCCTGAAAGATGGGACATAGCCAGACTTTCTCTGACATTCCTTCACCTAAGTTCCAGACCAAATCCTCATGATCACAGGGTCCATTTCTTCCTTCTTCTAACACTGCCCTAGGGACTGCTGACTCCATTTCCATATCCACTCACATCTATTTTCCCCCTGTTTGGGAGGTGAAGGTGGAGGAGTGATATAAATATTTAGCCTGATCTTTATTTTTGAAAAGGAGAAAACTGTTATGGGTTTCTACTCGCCTGTCACTTCAGGCAAGGACTAATAGGATAATAGGGAAGGGAGAAAAGTGGTTGGGTTGAACCAGAAAAAGTAGGTGGAAAATAGCCATGGCTAAGGAAACAGTGGCAATGAGGGGCAGAGAAGTCTGTATCACTGGCTTGGCACAGGCTAGGATCAGTCTTTGCTAAGAGGTTTCCAGGTATTTATAAAGCAGGGCAATGTCACAAGGGAGACAGGGTACTCCAATCTACCTCCTGTCTCCAAAAGAAGTGAATACTGCCCAAGATAAATGGCCATTGTTTTCAATGTTTTTACAATGGAGATGTTAGTTGGCATTATTTTACTTTATGTCTTTATATGACAAATAAAATACTTTCCCTTTATGATGAAGTAAGGCTAGGTCTAAGGAGCCTTTCTAAATCTGTAAACAGTATGGCCGGGTATGTAAAGGTTGTTCTAGTGCTTCAAGTCTCCATAACTCATTTTATGACTTAATGACATCATACACACACACACACACACACACACACACATACACACACACCTATTTGCTCTGTGACTGTTATTATATTGTAAACTTTAAAGGCCTGAGTTTATAGTTTATACTTCTCATGTAGTATAGTATCATGTCAGAACATGTGAACAAACAGTCAGTAAATGCTTTAAAATTCCTTTATGTTAAATTACATAAACTGGTAGGTTGGTTAACTTCATGTTAATTAGCAGGGGTGAGAATGTCTGTTAGCAAGTTAGGAAAGACAAGGCAGAAGGGCAGGAGGCATCTACCAATTATAGCTTAGAACCTGTCTTGTGTTCAGGAACCAGCTGAACCGCTGTCTCCTTCCCAAGTCTTTGCCAGCCACAGTTCTGCATGCTAGTCTACCTTTTCCACTTCAACTATATGGTACCTGAAGAGAGACACTGAATCTTATTTATCTAGTCTCTTTAGAGGTAAAAAACATAGATAGATGATAGGTAGAGATTATAAACAGGTAGATGATAGATAAATAGATAGATGGATGATAGATGATAAATGATAGACATTTATGTAAGTGCACATAATCTTTCAGCTAAGAATAGCTTTAAAAATATTTGTTATTTCTGTTAGTCTATTTATGTCCTCAGGTGTTCTTAACATATTTGATAGAACAAATAGTAGTGGAACCCCCAGTTTTTTAACCAAATAGTCTCCATTCCTCAGTTTCCCTTTCAGTAATAAATGTTCATATGACTGAGCCCCAGGTGTGAAAGGCCAGGCCATGCGATATAACTGGAAGAATTGTGTGTGAATTTCTGATATCTTTGTTTAGAAGAAGTGCAATTTCTTTGTACATATTCTAGGGCATATTCTAGTAGATATTCTTTGTCTCTTTGTTACCTTTCTCCCTACATTCAGCCTGGAATGTGTGCATGATAGCTATTGCTGAAGCAGTCATTTGGGTCTAAGAGGAAACTTTGGAAACAGAAGCTATTAGTAGCATCAATTAGACAGGAGGGTCCTGGAACCAATGAGGAGTCTGTAGAGCAGAACTCATCTATGAAACCTACATTGCCTGCCTCTGGTTATTTATATCAGAGGGAAATAAGCTTCTATCTTGTTAAAGCCACTATTGTTCCAGGTCTCTATTATAGTTGAATTTTATCCAAAACAAAACACTCTGGCACAACATAGGAAACATTACAACTCTGAAAAATAACACAAGTCAACAAGTGCTCCTTCTGGAGTCATTCAGAGCCACTTCATAATGCAATGGCATCAGGCCTTCTTACTTGTCTCTCCAATAGTTGTGACCCCAATGTCCACAAACATCTTCAATTCCAGTCTTCACATGATCAAAAAACTAAAATGAAAAGAGCAGGCTCATTTATTAACTTTTACCTAAAAGCAATAATTTCTATTCTTTTTACACCATGCCTAAACTTCAAAGACTACTGGTTTTTGCTTTGTGTGTGTGTGTGTGTTTTTTTACTGAAAGCAATACAATAATCTTCAAACAAAATGATGAGATGTTTGTCCTATGGATATTAAGCAATTCTTAGATTATTATTCTCATCTTTAACAGTTATTCACAATTTTTAAAAATATGATGCTAATTTTCTAGTATAAACAAATTCATATTGAAGGAAGTGATACGGGGGATTCCTGAGGAGTTTAGCAAGCTAACTTGGAGAAGCCACCATGAAGCTATGTTCATTCTCCACCTCCAGCTCATGTCTTTTTCATCCTTTTTTTTTTTTTGGCTTCTGCCATTTCTCTCTTCTTCATGTAATGAGCACCATATTGTCAAACTTTGTGACTGAATCCAACAATTTTTTTAATCATTTAAATCATTATACTACATTAAAACCTACCCGACAGTGGATTTCTTCACTGACAGCTTGTTGCTTTTTATTGGCTCTCTTAACATCAAGAAACTCCACTAGTGGTCGAATGGTTATTCCCTGCATGTACAAAAAATGAATTTCCTTATAAGATAATATCAAAATTCAATAATTTTTATTTTCCTAAGCTTTGATAACCAACAAAAGGTATCTTGCCCCCCAAGATTTAACACAAAGTATATAACATTTTGTTAGTTTTATCTTCCTCTTCAATAGCTGGCATTTTTTCAGAGAGCTATATCCTAACATCAGCTACTAAAAACAAAACAATGGACAAAATGCAAAAATATAAAAAAATGTAATTCTGAGAAATAGAAAGAAATACTAAAAAATAATAAAATATTATCCAACTCAGAAGAATTAACTGCTTGTGTTATCCACAAAAAACTTTTCAGTGATCCTTACATTCATTAATTTATTAAAGCAATTTTAACTGAGCATCTATTTTATACATGTCAAGAGCTTGGTCAACTGGGATACAAAAATGAATAGTAAAGGATCTCAGCTTAGGACTTGATAAGTCTTATGGGGAGAAAAATATACCAGAAACAGTTGTAGAGTAAGCAAAGAAAGAATGAAAGAAATACACGGGTAGCAGGCCAAGGAAGGCTCGGGGTAGAGGAAATTGGATAAGAGTCTTAAACATGTTGGAAACAAATCATAGCAGAGACTAAACATGGGCAAAGGATCAGCAATAAGAAAGGGCACAGAGTGGGTTTGGACATGTTTCACTATGACCTTAAGAAATGAAGAGAACCATAAGATATTTGGCAAGCAAGGAAGAAAAAACAATTCCTTAACATAATAAAAAGTATTTGCCAGAAATTTAAAGTAAACAACTGATTTAATAAAAAATATTAAAGGCATTTTCATAAAAACTAGAAATGACACAAGGATAGTTCCAAATCTGCTATTCAACACAGTTCTGCCTGTCACAATCAATTAGATAAGAACACCCAGAGGTGGAAGAATAGACACTGAAAATGAAGTGACAACATATGTGTTGCTCATGAATCTATTCTTTTTGTTCCACAATATCTAAATTCTTTTTGATTTAAAAATACCAAGAAAGTTTAATGAACTGACCCTAAATAAAATCAACATACACAAATCCATCCCATATACTAATTAAAAAGGAAATGATAAACACCTACACAATAGCAATGAAAACTATACTTATATCTATTTCTATGTCTGTATTTATATGTGAAGACAGAATATATATAATAGCATGTACCAGTATATAAATAATACATTAGATATATAGCAGTATACTATATAAATACTAAATATATATGTATTTGTATGTATATTCTCTCACTCTCATTTTGTGATATATTCATATATATAGAATATATAGAATATATAGAATATATAAATATACATATTATTTAGTAAAGATACTAAAAAATATGACACATACAGTTCTTAGATCTGATTACTTAATATTATGATGAGAATTTCATTTCAGTGTACATGCAATACAATTCCAATAATATGTTCCAAAGGATTTTTAACAGACCTTGAGAGGGCAAAATAAGAAAGTAGTTCTAAATCAGTCTGGAAGAGTAATTAGAAAGATAAAAATTTAGAAAAAGCATACTTACAAATATCACAACAAACTAGAAGCTAATATATTTTAAATTATGTTACACTATTATTAAAATAGGCCAGGTGAGGAGGAGAGGAGTGAAAATCCCTGAGTTTCTTGCTTGGTAATTAGATGGCCACCACTACTTAGCATAAAGAATATATGAATAAGAGGGGTTATTGAATTTTAGAGGAAGGGGTGTGGATATGTTGAGATATGTTCCCTGTCATACATTTGATTTCCATCTCATATTTCCACACATCTTTAAGTCTTTAAGAATGCCTTTGATAAAACAAACTAACTGACACATACACATGCTCACATTTAAAAAGATTTAACCATTTGTTTTATTTCACCAGTCCAGTTGTAGGTATTTTTCATTTTCACTTTAACTATCTGAAGTGTAAAATGATTTTGAGCAAATTTGGTGTGACCCACCTTTCATTGCATTTGTATCACTTTCAAAGTCTGCCACTTTGAAATAATGTAAGAGGTAATAACAGTTTTCCAAACAATACAAATTCTGTAATTTATAAATTATGTAAATGAAATAGGTATAAACACATGATTTTAAAAGATGGATTTCATAAAGCTACTAGTTCAATAATAACTCCAGGAAAAAAATCAACAAAATCAATGTAATTTTTAAAACTAAATAATGTGTTCTAAAGACATGAACTGTTTTATGTGGTTTTTTTCTGTCACCATTCATTTAGGAAATAATAAGTGAGCCCCAGCATATGTAAATATAGCACATAAAAATAAACATAGGACACAGGACCTGTCCCAATCCCTATGATGATTCCTTCCACTAGATGGATAATCTAAAAATAAATGCACTGTCACAAATAAAACAAAACTGATCAACTATAGGAAGCAAGTATGGTCTTCCTGTAATGCCCAGATCAACTCAAGTTTCTAAAACTTTAACCTGCCTTGTAATTAGTTTATAATTAATAAAAAAAATATTTTATGTGATGATTGCTAGCACTGTCTTTTATTTTTACTTTTAATTTTTTTCTTTTTGTTCAAGTACAGTTTGTCCTCATTTTCCCCATTACTCTCCCCTGCTCTATCCCGACCCCACCTCCCACATTCAATCCTCCCCCTGCACTCCAACCCCCACAGTTATTTTCAACGCTGTCTTTTAAAAATATGTATTTGTTTAAACAGTTCCCTTTAGTGGGTAGTGCTTCTCTCTTTGAATTATTTACAGTTGTCATGCCATGCTTAGTAGGAATTATTTGATAAGTTCTGCTTTACTTCCTCTCTCCCCCTTCTTTCTTTTCTTCCTTCTTTCCTCAGTCCATCTATTTTGTAAGTAGAGTACATGGCATCTGTGAGTGTCATATTAATTTCCCTACACTGGAGGTTATATTCTAGGAGCCTAGGTCTTAGGTTGAGAGAAACAGGGGGAGGGGGAAGAATGCCTTTGAGAAGGCACATTGGAAAATTTCTAATTTAGGTCAGAAGAGAAACCTGGTAAGGCCTAGAAAAAATATCTCGCTCCCCTTCATGTAGGTTAAAAACTTAAAAGAAATAAAAAACTTAGACTGCCATCAAACCACTGCAAAACATAATTTGCAAAGCCCAAGTAAAATTTCACCCATTCGTTCTGCTTTAAACAGGACACCTCACAGCAAGACCTGATGGAAGGGAATCATTTAACAGCAGGCATGACAGCAATGTGAGATTTGTTTGCTACCTTGTTCCATGTCTGTTTTCCACTGCCCTGTGCCTTTCTGCTCTCAGTACCATTAAAACAAACAAACAAACAAACAAACAAACAACCTTCTGTTGTACTAAGTAATGAGCATTCTTTGGCTTGATCTTTTGGAAGATATTGATTTGCTTTTTTTCCTCTTAGAATTAACTATTTTTTTAATGAAGTAATAGAAACTGCCTCTATTTCTTTGCTTATTTAGCAGGGAATTTTCAGAAAACCTGAAGAAACTATGATATAAGCCTTTCTCACTTTACAAACCTGATCAAAAAGATCATAAGCCCAGTTGAACATACAGTATTTATTAAGTCAATGAGCACTCTAAAAGTGTCCCATAGGTGTCTATGTTCCTTACACTAGTCTCACTGGGAAGTTCACTGTTTCTCTTTCAGGACTTACCACAGGGCACAGTAATCAGCTGTCACATGTCTGACTCTCCCCTAAACCATGCCTCCCCTTACTGTGTCATCAGTATGCCATCTTTTCTACATTCTTTCTGTACTCACACCTAGTAGTTACTTCTAGACTCATGCTTTAAAAGCCATCTATACACTGATGCATCTCAAGTTTATATCTCACACTTTGGCTTTCTAGATCCTATATATAGTCACCTATTCAACATCTCCATGGATGTCTAACAAACAAATATGCATGTCTGGAATGTAAACCATACTTCCTTGGTATGAAATTATATATTACTTTCTTTTACCTATTTGCTCAAAAATCCTTGGTACTGTCTTTTATTGTTATTTATCTCATATTTTAAATTATTCACCTACATTTTTGTCTTAAAAAAACACTCTAATCATCTTACTCATTTTATTATAGGACCAGAATAAATTTTTCTGAATTCCATAGGATTTTATGTAGTAATGGTATATGTGAATGAAATATAGGAATGTGTCATTATTATATTACCTATGAGGGAGGATGCCCCCAAAACAAGAATTATCTTTTGGAGGGAGGGCCCCTTGCACTAAAGTATTCCCCCTCTAGGTGAGTGTCCTAGGAACTTATCTGTGTCAGTGTACCAGCTGGCATTGTTGTGAGAGGCTGCATTTGGCTTCAGTGAGTTTTTTTGAAGACCCTTGCAATGCATTTGCCCATTTCATGGTGGGTGATTTAGGAGCACACCTGCCCACCTGTGCTGAGTGTTCAGCAGTTTTTGACAAAAAGGCATGATCCCCATGCTCCATCCTCTAGTCACCTTATCTCACCCCCAAAAACCTTTTTTTGTTTCCCTGGTTAAAAAAATCCTCAAAAGGAAATGTTTTGCCAATGTGGAAGAGGTGAAACAAAAAACAGCAGAAACACTAAAAGGCATCAAAATTGATGAGCTTAAAAATTGATAAGTGTAAAAAATGTCTCAATAGATGTATTGCATCAAATTGAGAGTACTTTGAAGGTAAGTAAAGTTTAAACATGTACGAATAAATACACGTTTTTTATCAATAAATTCCAGTATTTTGGGGTCCTCTTTTTTATAAATATATATAACATATGACAATTTATTTAACCAATTGCAGCTTTTTGAAGGTTCACTTGATATCTATAAAATAATGAACACTATAACTTCCACTGTGAGAGGCTAAATCAGCAAAGATGTGTTTGATTGCAGGGAGGGTCACCCCACCACAGGTCATGAGTGTCCCACACATTTCTAGGCCATTTTCAAAGCTGCATTTGCAAGAAGCTGACTTAAGAGGTGAGGTAACTGCAGACAAAGAGTGATGGACCTCAAGCTCA